TCACACCCTATTCTATCTTAATCTCGACTCCAAATCTAACGATTCGCTCCCTGTGACGTCCACGTGTGGTGATATGATCGTCCGGGAGAAAGCACTCATAAACCTGCTTGGGGATGCATGAGGCTAGATAGGAGACTTCGCAAATACTTGCCTATGCATTGTTATTTGCCTTAGAGCAATGTAGGTTTCGTTCGCCAGAGAACAAGCTATGAGCAGGAGTGACTATTCCTGGCATATTCGGGAAACCTGTATCATACAGGTTTCATGGTTGTCAAATTGGTGAACTCCAGCTTGCACTGAGATATATATCTGCACCTTCGGATGAAATCCGAGACATGGTTCATCGATGTGATCTTAGCAACAGTAGCATCATAATTCAGGACACGTGTAAACAAACCTTGCCAATTGGCATGTGGGAGGTTCCACACTCAGCAATGATAAGTTGGTGAAGTGAGGAAATCTGAGGCGGTGGACGACGGACCGTAATGTATGCAGGTGGTATGGCACCAGTAGCATAGGCAGGAAATCAGCAAGAAGGGGGTTGAGGCCAGGTAGACACCCCAACCTAACGCCTAGCTCCACAACCCGGTATTTACCTTTTCAAAGAAATCGTAGTCTGGCATCTTGGGCCTGTGGACGGACGTCGGACTTGCCTCGAAGGGGGACAGCTAAAATTGGAATTCCCAAGGAAGGTAGAAAAATGCATGGCACTGTCACTGACCGGAAAGTTCAAGGGGGGATTCTAACCCCTTAAACCCTTCCCCTTCCCCCTTCCCTATGCCCCTGTGTGGCACCATAAGCAGGCCTCTGGGATCAAGGTATCAAAGACCCTCGAAAGGGAGCAAGCACTCACGAACGGTCCCAATGGAAAGAAACGCGAGAAATTCTCGAGCGATCCATTATAGCTATCTTGTCTTCAAAGAGATCCGGGGACACCTATCTGGTATGTTCAACATAGACGTGAGATGGTGTGAGTTACTGATTATGTGTAATGTGAGGTAACGATGACACGGAGAGAGATCCCTCAAGCTGCTCGTGTGGCTTCAGATCTTTCCTGCGCTTCAGAGTCACATCATCCATTTTCCATCCATTGAAGGACGAAGATCCCCACCCTGCACAATATACGACATTTCATTATTCATCCAAAGACCTCAGCAACTTCTCGTTCAGTAGGTCTTTCTCCTGCAAATGCAGTGCAATCCAACCGATGGTATTCTTCTGTGATCGACAACTGTGTAGATTCCAAGCCCGTTCGTAGGACAACGTGATCTAACGCCTGTGAATGACCGCAATGACGAAGAGCGTCCACTGCCCTGCTCGTTTTACCGTCTGGAGACAGGACCTAAAGGGGATATCCGGAGACACTTTCCAAATTCGGTCTGCTATATGCTCTTCTGGCCGGCAGTCAGTCTTGAGTGCAGACTTCCATTTCTGCGAGGTAAAGCTCGCAGGCGAAGAAGTAGGTCTTCTTTAAGTAGGTATGCTATCGATGCTCTCACTTCACGATGGCCATTTCTGCCCTAAATTCCTTCTCACAATCCATATAGAGCACACGACACTGCGTGAAGTCCTCATGCCCGGCGTGGCGTGCTCGTCTCGTACGATCAGCAGTAGAGATGAAAAAGTTGTTCCCAACCTGACAACAAACGGGGCACATTCTAACGCTCGATAAGTGCACGATATTTGTCAAGGCTGATAAACACGCGTAGTGTAAAAAAAAAATGAAGTGAAAGTGGAAGCGTGCCTAGTTCAGACTTGCGTGGATTACAGCGACTTCGTAATTGATTATTACAATCTGCAAACTTAAATTTTCAATTTCGGCTTGGAGAAATGAATACAGCCTTTAAAAAACTTCCATTTGGCATTACGATAAATAAAATAAATAGTCTATTAAACTGTGATTATATGACGAGTTCCAATTACGGTTGCTATATCATGAACGAAAAAAAAAAGCATCATGCCTTGAGCGTGGGAAAACAGAAGTGGAAAATTAAAGATTTTCTGATCAACCAAGAAGCACCGCCTCTAGGCCGAAAGCGTGGCTCTCCCTGTTCCTTATTACCATCCTTTTCGGCACCCTTTAACACCAAGAAGATATATTGCAGCAAATAAGTGACGATGGCAAAGAAAGACGGGACACGTCCGCGCATATCTTGAATATTCCATATTCCATCATGGAATCATGATGAGAAACATTCGTGTAATTTCCCCGGAATCGTCGCGTTTCAAAGAATGCCTGTCCTCGCAGTCACGATTACGTTGAGGAACAAATGCAACCGCTACCATCTCCTTGTTTTCAGATTGAAACTTGAATTGAAATTGCAGTTTTTCTTGGTACATTACGATATGATGAAGCCCAACTAAGCCAGGCGAAACGTTGGAAACTTATCATCGTTGACCGCCCACGACTCGTTTCCAGAAGGCTCATTTCCACGCAAGCATAATAATACATTTTCACTGCTGAAATTCCCTATAGTCGTACTAGGCCTAGGTGTTCGCACATAGGCTCAAAGGGATAAGTATATGCTCAAGGCATGACATCGTTATTATCTGTTTCGGCATCAATGTAATCGAGAGTGTGAGCAAGGGGGAAAACACGGTCAGAGAGTTATTGACATGACTGTAGGACAAGGACTCTTACCCCAACCGAAGAGACAATCACTGCAACTTCTCAAAGTACTCCTTCCCCCCCCCCGTCTTCGCCACACGCCCGAGAGAGACAACGTTTTTTTTCCTTTTATTTTCCCCTCTCCTCTATTTTTCTTACGTTTATTTTTCAATGATCTCTTCTCTTTTTCTCTCTCTTCCAATTCCAAATCGCCGTGAAGAAGACCTTGCGTCCCCAAAATGTCGGCTGTCATAATAATAACAGGTTAATTAATTAATTAATTGAGTGGTTGTACGTGCATGTTCATTTCTTGATAAGCAGGCCTTTGGTGTTCGGTCCCCGTTCGAACCCTTGGATATATTCAGGGATGACTTCGGAGTCGACCGGGTGCTCCAGGAATTGGAAATCGAGTTGTCAGAGAGTTTTGGAAACGTCTGCTGATCCACCTCAAACGACTTACGATAAAGTGGTGCCTGGATCTTGGATAGACTGTGAGGGCATGTTTGATTTCTTACCCCACGATTGCTGAACTCAGGATGGAAGTTAAAGCTCAGAAGTACTCTGTCTGGTAACTCCCAAAGCCCCTTCCCGAATGTGCAGCAAGATGAGTACTCGGAATCCAAAAAACCTCCCTCTGCCGATTCCTCTCCCTTCCCGTCTCCCGGGACTGACTCCACGCCAATCCAACGCGATCCAATTCAGATTTCCAATTGGTAAGCAGACTCAAGGTGCAATTGTTCTTGGCAGGTTATGGTGGAGAAAGATCTGGTTGTTCACTCTCCTTTCAAAGGGAGATTACATTTTTCCTGGTTCATTTGACATCTGAAGTTTAGTTGTTCTACTCTTTATATTAACTTAGGGTAAAACTATCTACGTTCGGACACTATCACGTACATCGTTAAAAAAAAAACCATCGGTGCTCTTTCCCTCTGTAATAGTTCTTCGCAACGTGACGTGGAAAAGCTGTATCTGAGGATGACCTCGTAAATGTTTTGTTTTATAACAATTTATTTAATGTCCGAACTTAGATGGTTTTACCATACTCCCCTCTTTTTAACGTTGAGTGGTGCATGCATGAAGCAGAAGCGATGCAGGAGACCCAATGATAAGAATTGTCATCAGCGGCGTAGCTTCGGGGAGGGGAAAAGGGGGGGGGGGGGGGTAGAGGTGGTGCGTGCTCATCCACTTAAAAAAAAAGCAAAGGTATGAAGGAAACGTGGGGGGGGGGGGGGGGGGGGGGGAGGGGGGGGGGGGGGGGGGGGGAGGTAGAGGTGGTGCGTGCTCATCCACTTAAAAAAAAAGCAAAGGTATGAAGGAAATGAAGGCATGATGTGCGTATTCTTACGTGTCCCAAAGTTCCTATGCCCCCCCTGCACATTTTCCGTCCACGCTACGCTTATGGCTGTCATCAAAGGTCTTCCTTTTACATATTCGCCACTGTCAGGCACGTGTTTAGTATCATAAATTACAATGTACATATTGTGCATGTACAAAGAGCCTTCCTAGCAGTCGATGTCTTAAAGTTGGTGGCTGTCATAAATCAAAGATAAAGAAGGGCATGACCTTGAGACAGTCTGGCAGGGCTGCACTTCACCCAAGACTTTCTCTAGTGCATCGTCTACAATTGTCATACTGATTCTAGCAGCCTGAGTCCTCTAACTGTATCATATTTCGCAATCTTGTGCAAAATAAAGAGTCCTGAGTAGGGGAATGAGAGACGGTGTGTTCGACCTTACTATTATTAGTGGAGTTATACCTCGAGAGGGCAGAGTGCGCTGATTTCCTCGCCTTATTCAGCTGCATCCCTGTCTTCGTGGCATTTGTTTCCCTCGCCTGCATACTCTTTGGCCTATTGCACGCCTTCTCAATTTCTCTTTTGGTCAATCGAGGTGAGTTACTTGTACCCCAGGGTCTATCGCCTCGCAGCAGATCCTGTGCCCACGGATTATAGTCACACCGTACACTAAGTTATGCGTAGGTCTAAGGTCGGTCTTGCAGCGTTAGACGAGCTGTTGCTGAGGAAGGTTTGTTCAGGTTGCCGACTCCCGGTTTCACGCGAAGAGGAGACAAGAAGGGTGTAAAAAAGCAAGCCTAGGCTGTTCCTTGGCCCAGAGGCATTAGTCATCCAAGACCATTAAAAGGTATAGGGCATCGACTATCACATCATATGGAAGCTTGCCAAATTGGGCTGCCGGGGGGAGGGAACGTAGCAGTTGTAGCCCTCGTCCTTCTGTCAGCAGGAACTCATCATAGCCGATTTAGCCCCCAAAAGATGAGATCTCCAGATTCGACTTAAAGAGTTTGCAACCTAATTGTTCAGATACTCATCCCAACCTTAACAGGACAAGTGCTCCTTTGGTTGCACTGTCACCTGGGTGTAGTCTTTCTTGAAATGGCTGTTCCTGTTCTGTTAGCCAGGCTAGCTGTAGCCTCTCTATGATAAATAACTTGAAAGTTTGCCTTGATAGGTCAGCCTTGTCCTGTAGTCATGACTTATTTTCTTAGTATTTTTTTGCAGTCATGTTGATTTTTTGTCTTAATAGACAGTGTGGTTCCTTTTCAGAATGGCGACACACAAAGTCCCACATATTGGTTATCCTGCCCCTCATTTTGAAGGAACTGCTGTGGTGGGAGGACAATTCAAAACCATAAAGCTGTCTGACTACAAGGGGAAATATGTTGTCCTCTTTTTCTATCCTTTGGATTTGTGAGTGACTGCATCTACCCATTTTACCTCATTTATTCTCTGATCCTCACAGACTTCCATTATCCGTTAGGGGAAAATGGAAGTCCATGAGGATAAAGGCATAGAATATAGATGATGTTCATATTTAAGCACAATGTAAGGAATAACCCCCACCCATAAAGCCTGTCAGCAGTCATACCTGCATACTGGGCATTAGAGGCTTGGTTGCACACCTCCCATTAACATTGTGATGTGATTGTGCACATCCTTTATGCCTAGCTCGACAGGCAAGTTAGATATTTCTTGTGTTTAGATATGAACATTCTATATTCTATGTATATACCTAGCCTTTGCAATGAAAGCTAGTCATCTCTGAAATTCCAGGAGAAATGCAAATAAAATTAACTGCATTTTAAGGAAAATTGTTTATGGTGATGCTTTTATAAAAATATCTTATTCAAATACATCGTAATCTGTTATATATATATGCCTGAACATCCCTGCACCTTGAAAGAAGCTCTGAATATCCTTGAATTAGTGAAAGGGGTAGGGGTTGTATTTACTTCAGCATGTTTAAAGGTTACTTCATTTGAAGGGTATGAGTGGGGGAAAGAGAAGTAAAGGCCACTTTACTTTTATTTTAAAGTGCATGTTTGTATCATGCTGTTTACAAGGTGTAGGGCCAGAGGTTTGGGTATTCCTTCGTTTTGTGCACAGTGCGTACAGCACATGCACAGTCTATCTCAACTCCGACTTCGTTGTGTGCACAGTATATATTAACTAGTCCCACAATGAGATATCGTGGTGGACTTGTGAGACGGTGGAATGTCTATCTCCCGTGAATGATACTTGAGCACATACATCAAAGGAGTTTCCCCAGCTGCATTGACACTTGCACCATCTCTCTATAAAAATTTGACATAAACTACTCATGCCACAAAATGACCTTGTCTGGGATGGGTTAGGGAACAAGTTTCGTCACCCTTTCACTCACTCGCACGTGAAAAATATGGCAGATATGGCCACGTATAAAAACCTCCTGCTTGAACTTGAACCACGTCACTTGCCACTTGTTATGGGATTCTTAGAGATAGTCACTCATGTCTCTATCTGCATCACATGGCTGCCTGAGACCCCGACATGGTGGAACTTTGCCATTCCCTCCGATCGGATGAGACAACCTTCGAATTTGCCAAACAACAAGGCTTGCTTCCAGACTCCAGAAACCAAGTTTTGCAATGCCCGGTCCCTTACTGCACTGGTTACTTACTGGTTAGTCACTTGCTCGCATCTGTTATTTCTGAGATGTGTTCTAGTTCGATTCTGGCGTGTGCCCGCATCAAGGAATGCTCTACAACTCTACTCGTCCTGGGAGACGAGGTAGGAAGTACCCCATTCTGAGGTGCAATAAGTGCTGGAAATACTGGAGCGCCCGAAACGGTCCGATAGCCGACAGAGGGCAATTGAGGAACGTGGATGATGGATGTTGGCTCTCGTTCCGGGATAGAAATGGTCATCCTTGTTCCATAAAGACGATCCTTCTCATTGTCTTTTGCTGGGCAAAGGACCTCACCATCTCCCAAACCCATTCCTTTCTTACATCCCTCTTGTCACCAACAAAGGATGAAACCTTGGTCGATTGGAGGAATTTTATCAGTGAGGTCCTCCTAAGAGCCTTTCATGCTGCTGCACTGATGGGCGGTCCTGGTGAGGTCGTACAGATAGACGAGAGCTGCTTCCGGTGAGTGCGTGTTAGGCTGACTACTCACTCACGCCTGCACAAAAAGTATCATATCCCAGTTGCTAACCCTTATTTCGCTCTCAGGGGACATCGAAAAAACAATCAGGGGAGGCTCCTTGGAGGAAATAGTTACCCTCCAGCCTGCCAAAACTATGGCGAAAAAGTAACTGGCCCCTGGGTATTTCGTATGGTGTGGTACCATGGGGGGAAATCGGAAACGCGAATGGTCATTGTCAATCGAAGGGACAAGAAAATCCTGATCCCTTTTATCTGTCATCACATCCATCCAGGGACAACGATTCAATCCGATTCATGGGCTGCGTACAATGATCTAAGTACAAGGGGGTTCCTCCACGAAACTGTAAATCACTCTGAAAACTTTGTAGATCCAGTGACCGGTGAGAATATTCCTTCTAATTTCTCCCCTGATTATGAACTTATTTCAATTTCATTGAGGTTATGAATCCTTAAAGGAGCACACACACAATGCATAGAATCCCAATGGGGGCCATGAAGCAACGCATCCTAAAAAGAGGCCAGGGCACCACCCAACCCATGTTATAGATGCATCTTGCCGAGGGATGGTGGAGGACTTTACATGGGACCAATCCATTCCTGGATTTCCTCCAGGAAGTTCGGCGACAATATCCCCAGTAGGCTTTGCTGACCCACGACGAGCTGCTCAATCTCATTTGCTTATTGACATGTTTGTCTTCAAACTTGACTGAATACATTTGAGGCCTGCGTATCCTTGATCTTGAGTATCACCTTTTACAACGTCCATGGTGCCAAACCATCCAAAACAACAGGCTCCCGAAGTTATTGGAGTTGGGCCAGCTGGAAATTGTCGTATAATTGACATATCTCGTTGGATGCCTTTAACACAACCAAATCAAACTAGATATACAGACGGACTCCACTCACCTTGCTGGTGCGATGACGTCTCATCCATGAATGAATTCGACAAGCAGACCGGAAGGGTAGACTTCCCGTCTTCCTTTCACATGATCATTGAAAGTTACTTTAGGGACATCTTCCGACATATTATGGCACTAATGACTTATGCTATAGCAAGGCAGGTGTCTGCCTCTAGGAGGTGGGGTGCATGTCCTACAGGCAACGGGAGCTGATATGCTAATGTTATCAGAGGCCTGCAGGAGGGGGGGAAGGAAGATTGCATTGGGACAACTGATACTTAAGCTGTCAGTGACTGTGCACATATAAGCACTGTGCGCAAAACGAAGTCGGTGTGTCCATACTGTGCACATAACGAAGGAATACCGAGGTTTGTTGTTCTCCTGTTTCAGTTAAACTAAAGAAAGAGAAAATCTGAAAGTCACATAATTACTCCATGTTGCATAACTACTCCAACAGAGGGGTATCCCCACAGAATTCAATGGGATATAAATATTGAGTTTTGTGAGGAGATACAAATGATGGGTAAAATGCCATAAATATGGTTTTTCTCATGTTGACAACTTCTCTCATCAAGAGTGAGTGCATATTTGTCAGAATCACCTTGGAGGTGGCCCACTTTCCTCCCCTTCTTTCTTCCTATGTATGAAGATAAATAAATCAATGCAGCCCGTAATAGCATACAAGAATATTCATGAAAAATGAAGCAATGTTGTCTGCTTTGCTTTCAGCACCTTTGTCTGCCCTACGGAGATTATTGCTTTCAGTGAGAGAGCGGAAGAATTTGGAAAATTGAATTGTCAGGTGATAGCATGCTCAACTGATAGTCAGTTCTCCCACCTGGCTTGGTAAGTTTTGTTGCTTTTGGTCACTTACATGTGTCACTCACATTCATGATAAAATGACTAGTTTCCTCCTCATAGGATCAACACTCCTCGCAAGCAGGGAGGTCTGGGAGAAATGAAGATTCCATTGTTGGCTGATAAAAATACTGCCATCTCTCGAGAATACGGAGTCTTAAAGGAAGATGCAGGTCTGACCTACCGTGGTCTTTTCATCGTTGATGATAAGGGGATCTTGCGTCAGATCACCATCAATGACCTACCTGTTGGCAGAGATGTGGATGAGACTATTCGTCTTGTCCAGGCTTTCCAGTTCACTGACAAGCACGGAGAAGGTCTGTTCATTTACCTCTCATTCTTTGTATTGTACCCTTTTATCTGTCCAATCCCACAATGGTTTGTTTTCTTCAGTGTGCCCTGCCAATTGGAAGCCCGGGGATAAGACCATGAAGCCTGATCCAAAGGGAAGCAAGGAATACTTTGAGAAGGTCAATGCATAATAGATTAACTGAATCTGGGGTCAAGTTATTTTCTCTTTCTGAAGGCTGTCCTGTTTCCTATCGTTTTGTATATTCTAGTGGAGAAGACTAGATAGTATTGCAATTGCAGTGAACTCACACTCTCACAATCCTGATCTTTCCCTGTTTATGTACTCGTCACAAGCAGCAGCTACTCCGAATTTTTGTGTATCTGTTATACAGGCCAACAATAATAAAGAGATGTGCTGCATTCATGTGGTTTTAATTTATGGGTGAATGAACATGCATACTGCTACAGCTTGAAAAATTTTCAAAACTAGGCCATCTTCCCTTATGCAAAAAGCAAATGAGATGGGTTATAGCAGATGATTCTGAGCTGGTGGTGAAACTGGCTACCCACTATTTTCCATTGCATCTTTTTGACTTCTGTCAAAAAGCTGCTGTGGCAGGCTTATGCCTTGTTTTTCCCCTTTTTTTAGTGAGCTTTTATAAGCTTTCATTATGTGGTTACAGGAGGAGTGTGATCCAATACAGGCATGAACAATTGTGGAAATTCTCGGATTAGATATATATATGATGGAAGGTGATTCCAAAGCACTCTCTGTTGCTCTCTCATCAGCTGCTCTTAACATTGTCCTTCAAGTAAGTAATCTACTTTTAACTTTTAGCATTCATTTTAGATTCTTAAGCAATTTTTTCTTCCTCATCTCTAGCTCCTGTTTAGTTTTCAATAATGAACCTGTTCAATGAAGTAAGTCTCCATTTCAGGTGTCTGTCCGAATCCTCACCTTCATCTTAAATGGCCTAGTCATACGGTATATATCGAAGGAGGCCCTGGGAGTGGCCAATGTCAGGTGAAATTCTATTTCTTTTTCTTTGCCTTCAATTTTGTAATATTATCTACTGCTGTTTTTTAAATTTGTTTCTATAGACTGGCTCTGTTCTACACTACGGTTCTTTTCCTGAGCCATGAGGCCTTTCGTAAAGCATGTCTCAGCTCTCAGACCTCTGGGAAGTGGCAGCAAGTCATCAATATTCTCTGGCTCAGGTGAATATTTTTTTTCCCTCCCCCCCCCCCAAATTGTGGAAGTCCACATGAAAAGGCACACAGTCACATGTTTCCACACTAAACTTGCCTATTGACCAGTGGTAATTTCAAAATTTTCGAATTCCACCTCAATGTATTGCATTTCTCTTAAGTGTTCCATTGTCAGTGGTATGCTCCATAATCATTGGATGGGTATGGATCCATCTCCTGGAAGCCCCAGGGCCAGAAATCACCACAGATTATGGACTGTGTGTCATCTTGATTGCTGTCTCCACTGTGATAGAGAAATTATCAGAGCCTCTTTATGTCACCAGCCAGGCCTTCCATTTTGTACGACTTCGGGTGAGGGGAAATGCAATGGTTTGGCATTGTCTGGATATTAAAATTCCACTTGATTCTCTCATTGATTGATGATTCTCCTCATGCAGGTGATGATAACGGGACTGAGTTTCCTTGTAAAGAGCATGTCTTTTTTGCTTTTCGTGATATGGAGGCCAGAAGCAGCTGTATGGCATTATGCCATCTCCCAATTACTATTTTCCCTTCTCTATTCCTTGCTGCACTATCTCTATTTCACATGGTATCTCTGGTGGAGACAACAGAGTCCATCTCTCTCAGACCTATTCCCAGTTCATTCAATATGGGGATTCATGCCACAGAAAATTCCTGGACTGGTCTGTGACATTGTCCATCTTGCAGTCATTTCACATAGAGAGAGTCCTATTTTCTTGGGGATTCTTTTGTATTTCCAGCCTGTTTTTGATGCAGAACTGTTGAAACTCACTTGGAGTTTTATGAGGCAGGGACTGTTGAAGCAATTTCTTACGGAAGGTGAACGATATGTGATGACACTCCTGCCTCTTCTCACTTTTGGAGAACAAGGTGTGTATGATGTTGTGAATAATATCGGCTCCATGGCTGCTCGGTATGTGTTTCAGCCAGTTGAGGAAGCTGCCTATCTCTTCTTTGTTCAGACTTTGGATCGAGAGAGAAGAGAAGTAAGACGCCTCATTTGATATACCGTTGCAACTTGCACCAGGATTCATGACTTATCATGTTCTGTGATTTTACTTTGTCTTTCAGGAGAAATTTAATGAAGCACAGCAAGTTCTCCAGGCACTGGTGAAGTTGATGTTGATTTTCGGTCTAACAGTGGTCTGCTTTGGACAGGCTTATTCCCATCTCTTTCTCCATCTATATGGAGGAACAACACTTAGTTCTGGGATTGGTCCTACTCTTTTGCAAGCTCATTGCCTCTATGTCCTCTTTCTGGCCCTTAATGGAATCACAGAGGCCTTTGCCTTTGCTACTATGACAAGAAAGGAAATTGATTTGTCAGTAATCATTTGTCCCAGCTTTACATATCATTATATGATATTCATTCTACCTTGATTATTTTCATCTAGGTACAATCTGAAGTTAGCCTGGTTTTCTCTACTCTTCATCATCTTGTCTTGGCTTTTCACACATTTTCTTGGGCCTGTTGGATTCATCCTCGCTAACTGTGCCAACATGGTGGCAAGGATCTTGCACAGGTTAGATATTTTATCTGGCTTTAAAGTTCTAAACCATTTTTCAAGGAACTTCTTGAGTTTGTCAATCAGATGAAATGTAACTTAATTTTTTACCTGAATAAATAATGAAAATATAATTTCATGAAATGGGATAAATTTTTGTGTCACCCTGTATTAATATTTGTCTCATTGTCTTCTTCCTTTTTGTCATCCAAACCCCATGATTTTAGGTTTGCTTGAAAGTTCTTCAAGATTGTTCCACTTCCCTCAGATTTTCTTTTTACTTTTGACTTTCATCCTTGCAAACCATTCTTTTTATGTTGGAACAACACCACTGTCAAATGGGAGGTAATTTGAGCAAACTCACACACAGTAACAACTGGAAGGGGGAAAAATGGTTGCTGGTTGCATTCCTGGGACAGTCTCTGGTTACAGATGCGATCCTGTAATGTCTGGTGTGATTGTGGAAATGGAATATTTCCTTCCAGGTTGAAATTGATGATGTTCTGCTTTTCTGATGGATTTATAAGGATTTATTTATCTTGCATTATTGAAGTGCAATTGAAGCAGACAAGCAGGGTTTTCCTAGGGTATTTAAAGAAAGAGGATTATTATGATTTTAAACCATAGGGACTCGATTCAGTATTCATTTAGTTTCCTGTTCCTGGTTTCTGTTTCACCATGTTGTCTTAAGAATCACTTTCTGAACAAAAATTGAATTTATTTTTTTTATTAGTGTGTTTTTCATCATGAAACTTCACTCCAGTACGAAGGAGGGATTCTCTGCAAAGCCCTATCTTCCAGGATTTCCTGTAGGATGCATCCTTGGGCTGTCACTTGTTATTACTCTGATATCATCAGTGAGTCACTAGGAATGTGCATGTGCATCAGCTTTGTGATTCATCTTTCATTCATCTTGACTTTTTCTTGTAGCATGTGGTTTACCCTGGATCTTCAGTCCTCCACCTGACAGTTGGTGCTGGATGCTCTTTGGTATCTGTTGCTGTTATTGTTTTTTTTGAAAGTGATCTCATTCATTTTATTATATATTCATGGAGAAATAAAGCAAAAATGAATTGATTTATACCTGAACACAAGCTACCTAGGGAGAGCTATAGTGATCCTGTGTGTCATATACAGGGTGGACCAAGAAACAAATAAGCTCTGAATTGTCAATCTAATCGTCGGCTGTTGATTCGGATAAAATTTGATAGGTATATAGGGTGACAATCGGGGTGTGTGTGTCGAATTTCAGCCTTTTGACTCAGAAATTATAGGAGCTGTAATTTTTTTCTGAGAACAAATGACAAAATGTGCTGTTTAAAATTTGAATATGAACTTGAGGTCTGTATTCATGGGACTCATAGTCACTCACTGCAATAAGCTAAGTTAGTTTATAATCTGGGTTAGGATGAGGCCAACCTACTAAATACATTTTAAATACATTTATACAATAAAATAAAATAAATAAATACATTTTATAAAAGCCTAAGCCAATTCTCTGAATATTAACTTCAAAATTCTAAAAATGTAAAGAAAAATTAACATGGTGTCTCAGGTTAAAGTGTATTGTTAAAATGCTTAAATTAAGTAATGAAGATCTTGCTCTTATTAAAGACTTGCAACTCAGAAATGGATATGGTGCAAAGAAAGTGATGAATGACTTTCCAAACAGAAATTGGGCATCAATACATGTTCCGAAAATTTGATGAATCTGGTGGCGAAATTCTAGGTTTAAATTTAAAAATAAATGCTTACTTATGTGATCAAAAGCAAATTGAATGCTATTTGCACAGCTTTGGTATTTTAATTTGAAACTTGACGCACAATTGAGTTATCCTATATGTCTACCAAATTCCATCAAAATCGTCCCCTGCAATCAGATTGACAACTCATCAAAATTACAATTTTTTTTTTCCCACCCTGTTTATCTTCATCCACTGTAAAGTATTCGAACCCCTCATGAAAATGGAAGGGGTAATTGCACCCCCTCACAGCCTACAAGTTTTTTTCCATTTAAATGTGCTTTTTTGCTGCACTTGCGTTTATATTGATGGATCTACAGGTTGGCCCATTTATGTATATACAGTTTTGTTTGGCTATAACTTGCGTAAATTTGTACCAATTCCAATATTTCAACACAAAGTAATGTTGACATGAGAATTTTATTTGGCAATTTTCATGGAGTTCTACTTCCAGGTTTTCGAAAATTTCAATTTTTACTGTAACTTGAAACTTTTGCATATGCGCGCTGATTTTCATCTATGAAGCGAGGTTTTTTGAGAAAGTCTATTTTTTCTTGTGACTCCCATGCTGTGCATTTGTGCGTGTCATAGGTGCTATTTATTAAGGCCATTGAAGTTCACAATTTTTTCGTTTTTAAATGTCATTTTCGGTGAATGAACGGACAAATTTTGCTGCTTGGTACGAATGAACAAAATGTCCCATGATTGTTCAGCGAAAGTTGTGTGCAGAATTCGGTCGAGATCCGCATTCAGGAACATTTTGAATGAGATCTGTATGCATGAAGAGACACAAGTGCTTTGAACATGAGCCACACGACAATTCAACGATATCCTGAATGCGGTTGGCATCTGAGCGCCTTGTTAATAGCAGTTTTCTGTCTGCAATTTGCTCACTTCCAGCTTCCATTTAAGCATTGTACCATTTGGTAATGATCGTACGAGCAGGCGGATCTCGACCGAATCGCAATACACTGTTTTCGGATTGAATTGGTACCCCCCTACTGTGGAGAACAGAGAAAACACAAGCTTTCCTGACGATCCTCAAGATGTCAAGCCTGATGCTCCACATGGTTGTTGGATGGTTCTATTAATACTGCCAATTCGCGAGTGGTGGCGTTCGGCTTCGCGTTGAGGGCGTTCCGCAGGGCTTCGTCAGAAAGTGTTGCAAGACTTTCTTTCCAACCCAATACTTAAATGGTCTACAGGGCCGGCCCTAGCTGTTTCGGCGCCCTGTGCTCAAAGACTCCCAAAGCCTCCCTCCCCTTTTCTCTTGAGAAGGGAGACGGGTCAACCCCCAGCATCCAAAAGACGCCGAAACGCAAGGCATTTCCACTTTCTGAAGTAAAATTGAAGGTGGCAGCCATTATTGTTTCGTTCATTCTGGAACGTTTTGGCGCCCTGTGCGGGAGCACATGCCTTAGGCCGGTCCTGATGGGCCACCCTGTAATTTGTTCCTTTCCGAGCCTATTGCAAGGGAAAATATTTACTTATGACCTTGATCACCTTAAGGTTTCGATATGGATACAGGCACCAGCATCATAGCCTCAATACTCAGCAGGTTAATATTGAGCGGTTGTGCTTGCAGTGCCTCCTCACCTCGAAAGACAGAGACAATATGATCGTCTTAAATGGGGGGGGGGACAATCTCCAATCATTTTTTTTATTCTATTCTTTCTCCTGATTCATGCATTTACATCGCTGGCGGTATGGTTGGAATACTTGATCAAATGATTAATGGGAGCGGAATTTGTAGAATGCTGGCTTGTCTCACCCGTAATCAGAAGCCTCCCCCCCCCCACCCTTATCCATTGTTAGACTTAAAAGCTGGTCTTGCTTCCGGAGACAGTAATATGAGAAGATAGAAACTGCAGGTGATACATTTTCATGCAAAATTTGTTTCCCGACAGCGCCTTTTATAACGAACTGCCTTGAACAAGGCTAGGTGGCGTGCATGAGATCGGTTGGACTGGTTTTGTCGTATTTCTATAGAAGGCCCTAATTATCTCAGAATAAAGTATACGTTGAACAAACTAGAATTGTCTTAGGGAATACGAAATCAAGTTCTACCACACTGTGCCTGCAATGCTCAACAACCTTAGCTTCTTATATCCGTTACGCTAGCCCTGAAGAACATGGCCGCTCGCATGAAATGTGTCTCTCGCCTTGCTTTCCTAGATACTGTAGGCCTAGCTTGAGCCTTTTAACGTTAGTTTATTTTTTACTTTTCGTGAGTTCGACATTATTTCGCCGGCTGGCTGTAATTTGGAAATGAAATTGCTTACCTTATGGCAGCAAGTAAATGAAAAAGTATTGCATTGCCTCATCTGAATACGGAATGAGATTCTTGTTGACAAGGATTCGCGTATTGGAATACTACCGCCCAACTTCAGACAGATGAATAAATTTTTACTCAAGAAGCTGCTTTTGCAGTAACTCCCAAGTTCAGTAGAAATTGCTATGTAGGCTTGATAATACTTGATGTTAGTACGTAATGTTTTTAAAGATTTGTTGATTTTGAGATTATATGCAATTGCATCCTGAATTGTCTCCTTATTGGAGTGCCATTTGACACTTGTGCATTCATTAATATTTTTTTTTATTTGTCTTCATCGGCATCTTATGCATGTTTACTTATATAGAATCTTGAACACACAATTCATGTCTAATGTCAACTGCATGAAAGTTGCCACTGCGAGAATATCACCAATTATTCTTCAGAAGGCTGTGGATTGCTAATGCTTGCGTGAAGTGCCTTATTGATGCATGTGTAACATGGTCCAAGAACCTTGTTGCCTGCTACAATACAATGGCAAGCAGTCTTGCCTTGGAGGAAGAACTAGGCCATCATGCTGGCCTTACTAAAGGAACTGCCATTCTCATTCTCAGCCAGGCTAATTATCGAGTTTGATGCTGCCTTATCATTGGACATGGTGGCAGCCATGAAGGGGTGTTCCTAAGTCACCAATTGCAACTCCCAAAAAAAATTCCTCACCCACATGGTATTGCAGCACAAAATAAGGACCTGACTTGAATGGATAATAGTAGAGATACTTGCCTTCACAGTTGTGGTATTAAAGATGATAGCTTGAAATGAGAGCTGTGGTGAAGGAATGAAAGAGCAATATGGCAACTTTCATATTGTTGATATTAAAAGATTGTGTGTTTTGAACCCACATGTTTAGACTAGCTTTGATTCATGAAGAAGGATAGGAGTGATTTTGTGCATAGTTTTACCATGAAAGAAATAAGCACACAACATTGGAGAAGCACTGCATATGTGTAGTGGAAGATTGTTACTTACAGTTAAGAAGGATTGAATTTAGCCTTCATGTAGGGTTTTTGCAAATGAATTCATGCCACCATTTATGTTTTGCACATTTATTGCAATGGTCCATCCAAGGAGGTGATGGTACATCTCCTGTGATAAAAGTAACACTTGGTCAATGGAGCCCATGTTAAAGGTAGTACAAGTTCATTAGCAAATTGCAAATTGTAAACATATGACCTTTGTGATAAAATGGGCTTTCCTGTCCAGTGCCCAAGTGAAGGCACCAGTTGGGTTGCTAGTAGATAAGTACAGGGTGGTCCACAATTGTCTCCCCAAAAGTAAAAGCTCATTACTCAGGAAGTATGCATCCGATTTTAATGATATATGACTCAAACGATAGTCAATTCAATATCTTTTTATTTTGGAAAATTTCAATATTCATAAAAAATAGAACAAAGTTACACCATAACAAATTTAAGTACCCATATTGTGCAGCTAAAGCCTGTAAATATCGCAATCCCTTCTGAAATTCGCAATTCATTCAAGGGTTTTTTTCATGCATGTCTAGGGTTTGTCTGTGTCATGGGTGACCTCAGTATCCTACAGAAGGCAAATATTGCCATTTGGTTTGATAATTCAAAGAGAGCAAATTTGTGCAGGAAAAATTTGGAAATTTCTTCAGTTTGGGTCCAGATGCCTCAGTTCCTGACCAGATCATGAAGGCAATTCATAAGAGGTTTCTGAACCTGAAGAGATACATAGGTGGACCTATGACAACCTAGATGTGCTGAAACAGGCCATTTGAGATGCCTTCGCCACAGTAGGATCAGAGACGATTGAAAGAATTCTGTTGGCATTCAAAGAGACTACACCAAGTCATTGAAAATTGTGGTAGTCATTGAACTCGAATGATTTGGCAGCTTTTATTTGTAAGGATGTAACTTTGTTCTAGTTCCTTATGGAATGCTGACATTTTCCCAAATAAAAATATATTTACTTGGCTATCGTTTGAGTCATATATCATTGAAATCGGATGTATACTTCCTCAGTAATAAGCTTTCATTTTTGGGGGAAAATTGTGGACCACCCTGTACTGATGAGCATGTCTCTTAAATGAGTTGATCGTAGGATAAAATCTTATTGCATGGGTCTGGGTGCCCCCATCCTTGAATGGATGGTGAAACTAAACTTGAACTTGCATAAAAACTTGAACCCAATCTTGCATAAATATGGAAAAGTGACATTTCTTGCATGTCTCTTATTTTAGTCTTATTTTTATTCTGTAATAGGCATTTCCTAGTATCCAGGGCAATTCTGTAGAGTAGGATATCATAATTAAACCTTTGCGGAGTAAGCCCACATATTAATGTGCTGATGCTATCCTATCATCCTTGTATTTACTACAGGACATCTTGCAGGCATTAAAAAACCTACTCCTCAAATGGTTAATGGAAAGTCAAACATTCTTCAGCCTATTTCCTAGGGGTTTGCTACCCAAGAGTACTGGGGAGTTGGAGTTATTATCTCAGCTGTATTTGCTGTGGATAAACTGCTGATCTGTTCTGTATTTTTCTTTAGTGCTTTATACCTCCTGTTTCATGAGGTAGGAAGTTTAGCATCCCTCAGAAGCATAGTAAAGGATGGGGTAAACTAGACTAGACATGCACACAGCTGACTTGGTGTCTTTAGGAGCATTAAGAGGGTGTTTTCTCAGCAAGCCAAGTACTCTGTTAGCTTTGAAGAACTTTGAACCTTGTCCAGGTTTTTGTTGAGTCAAACCCTAATATTGTCAATGTTTGCTACCAAATTCAAGGGGACTCGTTTTCCTTTGTTATAATGAATTCTTGTTAAAACGTTTCACTGAAATTTTCTAAAAGTAGTAAAATATTTACCATACCTGAAGATGAAGTAGGAACATGCTACTGCATACAGTAAAGTAAGTATTGCTTTGGGCATGGGCATGACGTAATCAAATATGTATGACTCATTGATGGTCTATGTAAAGTAAACGTAAACTGTATTTGATGGAATTCACAGTTTGAATTATCAGTCGATAATATTTGATGGAATTCAATCTATGGATGACTTCTGTTTCCATTCTGGTTGTTAGTGGTCTATGCACTATATTGGTGTTTGTCTGGTCCCTGGTGGTCCACATAACACATCGGTATAATCCATCTAAGTATTGTGATGCAAAGAACATGATGAATTTGTCAATCCAAATGCAACCCTCAATTAAACACTTGGCAAGTGTCTCTTGATAAGCTTAAGAAAACATCAATGCCTTGGTTCATTGAGCACCACAAAATATCTGTCAGATATTGTGGAAGCATGTCCTGGTTGATGTCATGTGTTTTCCTCAGAATCTTCATTTTGAATTCACTAACCACAGACATTCAACAGTCTGAGTTATTGTACCAGTGACAGTGACTGACAAAGTTTGGTGTTTCACAGTCTTGTGCTGATATCCATGCTGGTTCAAATTGGCATTAGTTGCCCTCATATTAGGCACAATCAATGGTCCTGGTGCAACCTCATTCTGAATGATTAGGAGCAAAGCTTCCTAATCACTACATTCAGTTACAAAGTAATGTGGCCATTCAAAATTTATATTGCCCTTCCTCTTGTATATTTCTATTCCTTCAATTTTTTCCTGAAATTCACACTTAAATTTTACTCTTCTTTTGTTTTTCAGCCGCCTTTCTCGACTTTTCACCATCCAGATTCACTGATTTTTACTTGAATTAATGAAATCACCTGGAAAGGAAGTTCATAAAATTGTCAAGCCCTTCCAGTTGGCATCTCTCCCTTCTTTCTGTTCCTCCATCATCTCTTTTCAAAGATTCCAGTTTGACAATACCTTTTTTTTTGGAGAATATTGCTTTGTGGAGTGTTTCAAAAAAGACGCTCTATCCTTTTTCTATGGGGAAATGGCAATTTTCTTCTTGGGGTATTCTCATAAAAATGAAAATAAATAAAAATCCTTTTCCTGAGGTTCTAATTTAATTCAAAGAAACTATTTCTTTAAAATGGCAAAATCAGAATTTTAAAATCAATTTCCAGCCATTTAAAAAAATAAAAATGATTTAGGGTGATGAAGATACTGGTCAGGATCAGTCTATGGATAGCTCAACCAAACTTAAGTTGAAACTTCCTAATTTTCCACTGAATGAAATACTTTAAATTTATAATCAAAATAAATTCTTATTTTTCTTATTTGAACTCTTCTGCAGTAACCAAAAAGCAAAGAAACCATAGAGTCGTGTTCTTGAACTCCTTGCTTCTAGAACTGTAGGCTGAGCAGGTATGCTGGAGGAATCAGCTAGAGACAGGTACAGTACTTTAATAGTTGAGATATGGTAATGGCTTTGCAATGTTCAATGCATATTCAGTCCAGCATCCGAAGGTAAGAGTAATGTGAGGAAATAATTGTATGTTTGTACCCTCATAGAATCTCAAGTAAAATTTGTGTTATTCTGATAAGTTTGAACCAATCTTATTTGAGTGAATCTGACACCAAAAGGCAAATCCCACATTTTATTAATGACACAGCTTATATTAAGCTGCTTGTCAGGTTAAGCCTTCTCTGTTTCATTCTCAAGATGTTCTACCATTAAAAAAATAGGCAGGAGCCAAAATAAAGCCTGGTCTGATTTTTTTCCCTATGGGGATGAGTATTATCTATCTGCCATAGAAAATGAGTGGAGCGCCTTTTTTGAAACACCCTATATACAGTCATCTGTTATACTTTCATGAGAGACTCTTCCTCTTTCAGTGGCTATTGGTAGTTCCATTGTTCATGTGTTGGCAAAACCCAATTGATGTGGGAACATTATTATCTTTACAATTACAGAGAATGCCTGCCTATGAATCCTTCACTTTGTTTTGGCATCTACCATGCTTGGTTTTTTTTTAACTTATCCCCCTTGTGGCACCTTAAGGGGACAGAAAATGTTCTTTGCCTTTCATAGGTCTAGGTCTGAACTTAGGCCAGGCCAAATAGTATATACAGGACTAATATCCTTGTTTTGATTATAGTAAATAAAGATAAATGCATGGCCATGCATTTTCAAGTGAAGTCAAGCTTATTTTCAGACAGAAATTTCAGGCATTGCAAATACAGGGTGTTCCTTTTATAGAGACTTCACTGAGTTTCATAGGGTTATTGATACTGGTTTCCTTTCTTTCACTGAATCTATCACACCTACTGTGGTCCTTAAGATCCATATTAAAACTATTTGGTAGCTTCATTAATGATTATGTAGCACATGAAATTGAAGTGTATAAGTGAAAGCATGGAAGTGAACCCAAAGATATTCATGGAGTACCCTTCAAACTGTAAAAGGAACTCATCCAATTCAATTCCATCAGGAAAAGCATATAGATCTGGTAGCAAAGGGTTGTGAAATTATGTATACAGGGTTTGAATGAGATAAGTCTAATATTATTGTCTGTTCAGTCAAACAATGAAGGTTGACCTTGATCAATAATCTGCAAGAGTAGTGAAGCCAATGGAAGCAATTATGCCTGCTGTAGTTACACTAGATGGATGTGTGAGTTGAAAGAGCAACATGGAATAGCCCAAAAGAACTGTTAGCATGCAAGTGAACAAATAATTCACAGTTAAAGCTTCAATATTCATACATCTGGGTTACTATCTGGATGTGTATTTTATCTCTGACAAACTAATTAATGAAAAACAGAAATTTTTTTTGGTGAGTAGCCATTCTAATGATATTCTATTTTTCTCTGCATTCATTTTCTTCAGCTTTCTTCTCAGCCAATTGATTCTTTGTCCATTTGGATAACATCTCTGATTCAACAGGAGTGGGATGTCCTTGAATTGTTCCTCCAACTGAATCACCATCAGTCACCTTGACTTACCCTAGTTGTCTGGATAAATTCACTTTCTCTATGATCCCTGCTTGAACTCAAATCTGGGATGTTTTGCTCTTTCTATGTTTTTTAGACACTCTTCTTAGATTATTTGACTTTGTTAGCATTTCTCCCTTTTGTAGTCTGTCATCCACTATTCTTTACTACTGTGACTTTCTCTCAGATGAAGCTTTAAGTATTATCAATAATATCTTGGTTTGCTATTTAAATTAACTATTTTTTATCATAGACTTCTCTTTTTGGTGAGATTACCTCTGACCGTCCCATTTTGAAGTGAAAGTAACAAGAGCTGGTAATATTGGCCAGGATTTTGTTGGTTTCAACTTGGGTGCAGTGTAACATCTATAGCAGACAATGTCCTGTTGCATGTTTCACATGAGCTGATGCAGCAAGGGTCATAGGGTGCATTCCAGTGTTGCAGGCTGATTGTCACTCCTTTTGAATAGGCTTGCACATGCGGTTGTATGGACATTTAAAAAATAGGGTCAAGCATCCCTGCTTTACAGTCTGCGTCGCAAAAAGACGTCCTGTTGGCGGGGCAGTCGTCTTCCGTTTCGCCTCTGGATCGCTGCTTCCCTGGTCCCCTATTCGGGCATGACTGTTTCATTCTTATCCTGCTGTTTTCTGAATTTGCATTTGACCCTCTGTTTTCTGTCATTGCATCTGACCCTCCCTCGCTCTTTACATCTGGGATTCATCCCGAAAGGACCCTCCCCTTTCTCTGCACCTCAATCGGTATGGTTCTTTCAGCAAAGTTCTAATATCCTGATTTTTATCTGAGCCAGCGAGAAGACAGACCAAATGGACATCCTTCTCTTTTTGACTTGGTCCTGATGTTGGAGGATGGAGTTTTGTCTTGGAGCGCTGGTGCTTGTCCTGGTAGCCTTCACTCTTACATTCAGGCTGAGTGCCTTGTTCACTTATTCTCTCTGAGAAGCCTTATGTGATTGTTGCAACTGTTGAATTCTTTGTGGATGGCCGAGCACCGAGTAACTGTTGAATTCTTTGTAGATGGCTGAGCGCCACATCTTGTTTGTTGGTAGGGCCTAAGTGATTTATGCTGAAGGCCGAGCACCTGTTTCTTGATACCTGGACTGTTGGAAGTCAACACCTGAAGCACTCCTTATACTGAGAGTTGCTAAGCTGTGATCTTGGAATAGAGGAACTTTATTTTCCTGTCTTTTCCTTGTTCCCTTATTTCAAATGCCTGAAACGAACCCAGTGCAGGTGGTTGCCTACAAAAACAAACAACCACGCCTGTGTTACAGCAGTCCAGCTAGCAAGAGTGAATTGAAACTATGGGATTCCCGATGTGTAGAATCCTACAATTGCATGCATCCTATAATTTTGGGGACTCTTGGTTTTCAGTATATATTCTTTAAATGGTTTTTCATATTGGCAGGTGGTAGAACATTTATGGAGGGGGAGTGTCATTTGCCACTAGTGCATATGAACAGGGTTTGGGCTTTTCATGTGGGGGAAGTAGCTTGAAAGACAGCAATGCATATACACTCTGCATTTGCTCATGTGTAGTTGATATCAAGGAACAAAGAGACTGAAGAACCATGCCAGGGGAGACATTGAATTTTAAAGGCACCAAAGCACAGTCTGAGACCAGACTGAATATGATAGGAGAAGATAGGATACCTGGGGAGCAGAGAAAAGCTTCAACTCTGCCAAGACATCCCTTCTCATTAGCCAAGTTCCAAAAAAGGAAAGAGAAGGACAAACATGAAAGCCCAAGGACAGTTCAAAATGGACTGGAAGCATCATCCCCAAGTGAGAGTGATTCTTCTCCTGCAAAGAAACGGAGCAAGTCTTTTCTTACACATCGCCCATCCCTCAGGAAAGTTGGCAATTTCTTCAGCCAGATGGTGAAGCATGTGTCATCAATCAGCCTCAGTCACAGCTCAAATGGCAGTGCCCAATTCACCAATGGTGTTCATAATCAAACGGACCCTGGAATCTGTGAGGTAGAGGAACGCCTAGGATCATGGGAACTCTATGCCCTGTCAAAGGAAGAGAAACAGCAACACTGGTTTGGTGATAAAGTTCCAGGGGTTGCTGGACTCCGTAATCATGGGAACACGTGTTTCATCAATGCTGTGCTTCAGTGTCTGGTGCATACTGATCCCCTTGCTGAATACATGTCCAGAGACTGTTACAAGACTGACCTGGTGAAGCGAAATAAGTTCAACTCCAAGAAGTATGGAACTCAGGGAGAAGTCACAGAAGAATTGGCCAAACTCATTGGTTCTATCTGGACATGTCAGGTGGGCACAAGCCCTCAACATTCCATGCTTTGGCTTTGAAGCAAGATTTGTACCAGTACATATGTATCACTATTGGTGTTCTTTTTTTGCTTGTGCAGTATTCTCCAGATATGACAACTGATTTCAAGTCAGTCATTGACAAGCATGGCAGCCAATATAGAGGTTCATCCCAACATGATGCTCAAGAGTTTCTCCTTTGGCTACTCGACAAGGTCCATGAAGATCTCAATACTGCTCGAAAGAAGAAATATAAAAGGACAAGGGTAAGTGGATGATGATAATTTCTTGTTTGAGGTCCCAGTTTCTGATCAATATTGGATGTCTTGGTATTTTTTATTTACTTTGATATTGTATGTCCTGTGTGTATTTTGATTCGTAGAGTACAGTTGGTCGTCCAGATGAAGATGTAGCTGCTGAAGCATTGGCCAATCATCTTCGCTGTCACAACAGCTACATCCAAGCGTTGTTTCAAGCACAGTTTCGCTCCTCTCTCACTTGCCCCCATTGCAAGAGTCAGAGTAACACATTTGATCCATTCCTGTGCCTGTCCATCCCCATTCCCCAACGCCAGATGAGGCCTGTCCTTGCTACTGTCATTTATTTCAGCCAGCAACCCAGAGAGGTGGGATGCCTTCTTTTAGGCTATGCCATTCATTATTTTGTCTCTTGGCAAGTGCTCAATTTACTTTCTCATGCCTCTTGCCAGGTGAAATTGGGATTCAATGTGAGTGCTAATGCATCCATCAAGGAGCTAAGAGAAATCATTGCTGCTGATACTGGTCTTGATGAATCACATCTTATCCTCACTGAAATCGATGGAGAAGGATTTCATCGGACATTCTCAGGTCCAGAACTTTGTCTGATTCAGAAAGCCACTGTTTTTCCTGGAGAAGAGTTTCCTGATAAACTTTCTTTTGTAATGGCAGATTCCCAGCCATTGAGTGTTCTAGGAGAGGATGCAACCCATGCCCTGTATGTTCTGGAAATGCCACCAACCAAGGAACCAACTGAGACTGATGGAGCTTTCATACTCTTGGCTTGGATCAATCTCCTTTATTCAGCAGACTGCTGTACAAGGTGTGAAGAGTACATATTATATACTGCTCTTCAAATTTCTTATACTGGTGAATGCAACAATTTTAAAGTGCTTTTTGTGTTATCCTATATCTGGTTCCTGGGAAAAACTTACTTCACAAGGACTTTGTTCCTATATATTTTGAGAGATGAGGTTGCCTGAACATTATTATTCTGCTGAAGGTATAGAGGAATGCACTGAGAATGTCTAGGTTTATAGTGGTTTTGGTACTCTTTCTCTATGGCTGGATGGTGATGTAAATATAGGCCTACAGTAGATCTAAAAATAGTTACTGGTAGTACCACAGACTAAGATGTAATGTATGGAATTTGTACTTCCATGATCATTTGTGTTTTCTTGAATTTGTTTAAAGACCAACTTTAAGTTCTCTTAAATTTGAGTCTACCTTTTTTTTTATTTATTTGCTTAAAAGTCATTATGTTTTCTCTGACTTCCTATTTGTGCATGAAGAATAGCCCTAAAAATGAAATTTTTTTGCCCAGGTTTGGTGCCCCCTATATAATGCAGGTAAGTCGAGAGACTTCATATGAAGATCTTCAGAAGCTGTTGCTCAAAGAAATGCAACAAGTGGTGAAACCTAGTGTCCTTACAACTCAACAAAAGGTGAGAACTAGTAAGAAGTGAAAAGTGAAAATTTTGCCTCCATTTGTGATGGAATGATTTATGAAAATCATTCACTGAACTCCTTTCTTCTCTAGGTTCCCTTGTTTGGCATTAAAGTTGTGAGTGGAGACAAAGAACTACCAGAACTTTCTAAAGACATGGACCATCCTCTTTATGCAGAAAGTATTGAGCATGGGCTGAGCCTCTGTGATGATTGCTCTGGTCCAGCTCATGTGAAACTTGTTCTTGCCTGGCTGCCTGAAGACAAGGAAGGGTTAGAGGGTTTTAATAAATTCTTTACTTCTTTATTGCTCAAACCTAGTAGAAAAGTCAACAATCTGATATTGTTTTTTTTTTTGTCACAGAGTGATAGTGGTGGACAGTGAACTGCTAGAGGAGCATGAAAGTGTGAAACAACTTGAAAACAGCCCTCAAATACAGCCAGTTGTCACACTTGAAGAGTGTTTCCAGGTTAGCCCTGGTTATTTGCAAGAAGCTCTTACATTATTAACATTTCCTTTCACTTCTTGATTTGTAGACATTTTCTACTCTTCATGCTTTAATTTGTACTTGTATTGGCAATTCTCAATTTTAGCTGTATACATCTGAGGAGCGGCTAGGAGCAGAAAATGCTTGGCTTTGCCCTTCTTGCAATCGGAAACAGGAAGTTGTGAAGTCCCTTGCCCTTTGGAGCCTCCCACAAATTCTTGTGATTCACCTCAAGCGCTTCCGACAGGTTCCTTATCTTCCCTGGCCTTTTTATGGTACCTGATGAACTATACTCCAAGCTTCATTAACTGGTAACTCTCTCTGCAGTTCTCAAATCAGCGGACAACGAGCAAGCTAACGACAATGGTAGATTTCCCTTTGACTTCTTTTGACCTGTCCTCTCACTTGGTGCCAAGGAAGAAATCTGAAAATCAGGCAAATGGACCAAATGGAATGTTCACAATGCCACCCTTGAATGGGCTGACAATCAACCACCATCACCAGTCTTCATGGGCCACATTGAAGTGGGTTGGGAAGAAGTCAGCCACCTTGCCTGCTTATGGTCGCCTTGGTTCATCACATGAGGACCATCTCTATGACCTTTATGCAGTGGTCAATCATCATGGTTCTGACCTCCAAGGGGGACATTACACTGGTGCGTGCCATGATGACAAGGTTACTCTATTGGAAGCATATTAATTTAATAATTGAAAGATGCCGAAAGTTGTGGTGGCGGTCACCCTTAACACGTGAGGCCTACAATACTATGCCATTCTAGACCCTAGGCCAGGCCATCCACAGTATAAAGCACCAGGCCTACAAGGCTCTGCCATTCTAGGCCATAGGCTAGGCCATAAAAATTTTTAGGTGATTGGTTTGAACCTACTGCTTCATATTTTAATGTGAACATTTTCACATTTCTGCTCTTTAGATGGCCAGCAAAGCGGCCAGCCGCTAGTATGAATTTAATTCAGTGTAACCTATACACAAATTTTAGCTATAATTTGATATTCTCTTACATCATGTGATTTTACATCATAAATACTAATAACTGGATATTTTCCTCAAAATGACTACAAGTAAAAACTTGAAATAAATATAAGTTTACCTTCTTTATTTAAAAATGAAAAGAAATATGTTCTTGAAGGCAAAACCAGATAAGGAAAATTCATATTGGTTTGGAGTTGAAGTCAATCTCAAGTATTCACCCTATGATCCCACTTTGCCACATGTCTTTCAAAGTATACATTTATAATAAAAAAGTCTCATTGGATCTGCCCTAAATGATACTTAATGGAGCCAATCTTGCAATTGTTGACCAATAGCTGTTTGCCAATAGATTACATTGGAATTTGCATTCCACTTCTCAAACTTTTTTTCCCAATGCTGATTCATTTTGATTCCCCAGCCTATTGCAAGAACTCCATGGATGGGAAGTGGTATGAATTTGATGACACCCAGGTTGAGTCCCTGTCAGAAGGAGCCCTAGTTACTCAGGATGCATATTTGCTCTTCTATCAGCGAAGATCTCATGCCTCAAGCAGCTCTGAATCTGGATTCTGCCACTGGGTTTATACTATTCCAGGATTAAAGCCTCTCAATTGTCCAGATGGTAAGACCTCCATGGATTATTCAGCTCTTAGACCCATGTACCAGAACTGTCCTCTAATAGAGTTATTCTTATTGAGTATCTGGAAATCTCATGTTGGGTTGACTGCCAAAGGTGTTGAAAAGGATCTCAGCTCTCTTTCCTACAACTACAAAGACCCTTTCAGTCACCTAGATGGAGAATCTCCTTCCTGCCATAGAATGTATTTTCCCTTGTACAGAGCCCTGCCATAATGAAATGAACGCTCATTGCAAAAAAAGAAATACTAAGAAGGAGTTGAGCAATCTTAATGAAATGTATAAAACATACTTTTAGTAGTGTATCATGACATCAATAAGAGTTTCAAGGGAGTCAGGTAAATATTCACAAGGAAAACATGCTAAACATTTCAATTTAATCAGTGGAGAGAGAGGAGTTGTACTAAACTCCCTGATCAAGCACCCAGGAAGAATCAATTGATGAAATGTAGCATAGAAACTCTTACTGATTTGTGGTAAAATTAAGCAAAGTTTTAATGCCAGGAGGTGAAGGGTTGCAGAGAAAATTTACTGCCAGCTTAAGGAATGGGGCAAGAGACCAGGGTAATGTCTTTAATTTTTTTTAGCAGTTGCAATACATCTTTTTTACACTTCTCATAAAAGTGTAACAAAAAGTTTATTGCAACTGGAAGTGCCTCAGGCTTAGAAATGTTGAACCCCCCCCCACATACATTGCTCAAAAAAATTAAAGGACATTACCTTGACTTCTTGTTTCATTCCTTGGGTTTGGAGCAAGTTTTCTCTACAACCCCTCACCTTCTGGCATTAAAGCTTTGCTCAATTTTACTAAACATCAGTAAGAGTTCCTATGCTACATTTCATTAATTGACTCCTCCTGGGGGTGATCAGGGAGTTTAGTACAACCCCTCTCTCTCCACTGATTAAATTAATATGTTTAGCAAGTTTTCTTTCTGAATATTCATCTGACTCCCTTGAGACTAATCAGTGTCATATGACATTGCTCATTGCTGAGTATGCGTACCAAAGGAGTATGCCCAATTTTTGCCCTTAAACCATTTTCAAAGAAATGTGCATATTTCAAGAGGGCGTCCTTAGGCAAACCTAAAAATGCAATTCTTTTTCAATTCTGAGCAGTTTGAAGAAGTTAGATTAAGGTTAGGTTTGCCAATTTTTGGCCTTAAACCAATTTTGATGAAATTAATATTTATGTAATCTGTTTCACTTGTGAACGAGAAATATATAATTTTTATCCAAATGTGAGGGGTTTCAAAAATTTTTGGTTAGGTTAAATGATTTTGCTGTTTTCAATTGGGACTTCCAATAAATGACATTCCGCATTCTAACAACTTAGAAAGAACATCATTTTGGAAGTAAATGGTGAACTTCAACTAGGAATTGGAAAATCTAGCAAGAATGCTTGCATGTATGATTCATGATATATAAGTATATGATGCTTAGATACACTAAGATTTTACAAAATTCACTTGTATTTATATTGCTTTTTTCTTGGTAGTCTGCTTTTTTTTTGGTGATGAGTGTATGCATTCGTTTATGGGGGTATCCATATTTTTTTTTTTTTTTTAAAAGACAGAACATGTGACGGACATACAGGACAACGGACGCATTTTACGTGACACAGAGAGGAAGGGGGTGCCTGCTTGGCAAGAGCACCACATCCGTGTCACAGTCCCTTAGGCTGGGACACCCCTCTACGGTCCTGTAGGAGGCCTTAGGGGCAGCTCATGGGTTGCCTACGCCCATGACTGGCACGAGTGGCTTTTAAGGTGTACTGCACCCGCATCTCCTAGACGTGGCACACAGGGTGGCATGTGTGTTATCCCACGCTAAGCAGATACTCCCCATGAAAGCAGGTGGGCCACCTGTCAGCGGAGGAAGAGCCCGCCGTCACACGGACGCAATCCCTCGCCTCCCGGGTTTCACTCGGAAGCCAGAACCACTCAGCCACCGAACCCCAGTGGGGGTATCCATATTATTATGGCAGGGCTCTGTACAAGGCTTGTAAGCTATAATATTTCCAGCATTAATTGGAAGCTATGAAAATTGCACTATTTTCCTGTTGATCAGACATGTGTTAATTCAATGTATCATCATTACATCTGTCTTCAGCGAGAGACTCAAAATCAGGGAATCATCAGCATGGGTGCAAAAGTTTTAACATGTCCTTGGACAATCTGAGGCAGGTTTTTATTTAAGCTTAGGGTGAGGTTCTATGCCAATAGGAATATGGACAATCTGAACTTTGATGTCCATGCAGGATAAGAGGACATATTCATGAATTGTGCTAGTGAATTTGATGTAGATTGATGAAATAGGAGAGGAGTCAATGTAATTTTTGTAAGTCCCATTTTAATAGAATGGAGAAGGGCTCTTTGAGAAAATCTTGTCTGTGACATGAACTTTTCCACCACAGCTCTGAGGAGTTGTAGAAGTCATGACCTGCTTTTTTGTCCCTTCTCATAGGCTGCAATAGCATTTTGGCTTACCTCCCTCTATTCTGGGCATCATCATAGCTTCAAGCAAGAATGGTTCATCCATTCCATTACATTTAACTTTGAGGAAAGACACCAGCAGTACATGCCTTGTAATTGACTTTCTCTGGTGGGACATCATGAGAACTTGGAGGAAGGTTTGTCCTGACAGCTGGCATTGTCTATAGGACTTTCAGTTACTTGAAGAAAATAAGTTAAGTGGCATTGGCTCTGGAAGTTAACCAGTTTTTTTTGCATGTACACAGGTGTCATGCAGGGCTTGAAGGTCATCCAGGATGAGGTTCCACAGTTATTAGGTCCTCTAGTGCCCCTAAAACATAATACAAGGGATAGGACATCATCTTAAGATTCAGCAGTTGCCTGCAGAGTCATTTAATGAGCAGGGATTAGGGGTGGAGGGGGGAAGGGAAGTTTGATGCTGTAAAAGAGTGTTGTCTATAAATATACAGTCAACTCTTGATATACTGCCACTGTTGGTCTTTGCCAATTTTGATATAACGCTGATTTTGGCGCTGTATCGAAAAGTATGGCTTTAAAATGGAAAATTTTCCAAATTATTCAAATTTAAAATAACAACAACAAAAAAATCCAATTTAATTCATCCATGCTGCCAATGGAAAACAAAAACTACTCAGCTTTGAAAAATGATTCACAATGCTTTGCTGACTTTCAGCTGCATGTGCCTCCTTGTAACAACACACTTCCACTTTCTCCTTTACACTTATAACTGTCCTTTTCCCCCTTACTGGATAATGAACACACTTGAACAATCATCTGGAGAAACTTGGAGCTGAAAGAGGCATTTCCATTCTCCAAAAGAAAGAAAGGAGAGGTAGGATTAGGTCAGATGAAGAGATCCTTGGCATCCATGCCAAAGTTAAGTCATCCCTCGCAATCTTGTTATCAAACAATCAAAAGGAAAGGCCGACAGCATGTCATTTTTTTCCACCCCAGTAGTGCATGGCATGATCATTGTAACTGGTATGGTATGCTGCTTGGCATTGAGTACAACTTATGTTGGATGAGGCATGTTTGTGCAAGGCAAGGTATTAGCGGATGGCGGCTTGCAGGGGTGGTGCAATAATGGGGGAGCGCCAATGATGAGCCTATGGGGAAGATTGGTTCTCAGGAAAGAGTTGGTACTAAGCGAGAGTGGCGGTATATTGTGTGATGCTATATCAAGGGTTGACTGTACATGTGCTTATGTATATGTGTATAGCCTTGGGTGGGCTGGTTGGGTGTCAGTGCAGCAGTTGCAATGACACTCCCTACTTCTCAGATTAATCCTTTGTTGTCTGTGGAGATAGGTGGGCTGCTTGTGTTCTTGTACAATCTCATTCCCATCCACTTGTCTGTGCCCCCAAACACCACTGGTTTTCACCTCTGCATCAGAGACTCAGTCTAAGAAGAGATGTATTTCTCAGTCATCTTATAAATCTGAAGCTGAAGCCTGATTTTGTTAAAGGAATGACAGAAAGACTCAATAATCCTCCTGTTAAGGAGTCAGTCTTCCCAAGTGTTGACTTGCCAAGCCTCAGGCTATAGGCTGCTCCAGATAGGTCTGATTAAAGGCTCTTTCAGCATTACTACTTTTTCTCTTTCTATACCAAAACATATTTTCCAAGTGGACTTAAAGCATGTGTCTATATCGCTACATAAAAAGTGAATTTGAAAGCAGCTAGATGTAAATTGTATTTTTTTTTAACAAGGTCTGCAAGGTTAGTCTGCTCATAGTGAAATATCAATAGTGACTCATTTGGCTCACCAGTTGCTGCTTCTTGGAGGGCATGAATTGATGATGGAAGGTGACATTCATTTTAGACAGATTCTCCTCTTCCCTAAACTTGTTGACACCAATTTCTCTGATGTTACAGTTTGTGCCAGAATACCCATTGATGGGATATGGTCTGACTGTAAAGATAGTCCTTCAAATGATTGAAGAATAATGTCATTTTGACATTTGAATGCAAACAGACTTGTAATTTCCTTGCAGACTTACCTGGGTCCTGTTTTGAAGTTAGACTTTTTACTTCTTTCAGGTCATTGCATGCCAGGTTGGGACTCAGTTCCTGGGACATTTCCACGATCCTCACGTGCCTATGCCAGCCTCATCCCTTTGCCACGTTCTCGCAAGACAGAGAAGCAAATTGCCCAGAAAAAAGCCTCAACTTCACCTTCATCATCAAATACACCCTCGACACCCACTCCTTTGCAAGCTATTGTAGGTCTCCTGATGTCTTAAAATATAATTTTCCCATACATCTGTAGTCATATGCTCTCTGGTGGCATATCTTAAAATGGGAAGATGATACCACATAGCTATTATTTGAAATTCCATATTTGAGATTCACCTTTAATGTTCTGAACTTAAGGATATCTCAGATCAGGGAGATGTCTTGTTGGGATGTGCAGTTTTACCAGGCAGTGATTTTGGTTGCATGACCTGGCATTTTGGTCAATTTGTGAATAATGACTAGTTTCTTTGTTGCAATAAAGTGGCCTACCTTGAAAAATGAAAATTCCACAGTTCAAGAACATTCCATGGAACATTTATGTGAGCCTTAAACAATATACTCCTTTGTAATTGGTAGTGATTGTTGCCTTTGAAGGTTAAGTGAAAGTGTTCAGCCATTATGAGCCAGTGGCTTCTACTTAGCCAAACTTGAGTCATCTAGACATCACTGCTGACTTTATTTTATTAGGTCATCCCATAAGTAATGCGGTTTTTTCGCATTGCCAAACTTGTGTCTTGTTTATACGTGTATCTGTGCACATCTCATGGAATATTTATATGCTAACTTGTGTAGATGTTAAGTCTTCAGTCTATGTGTAGGTTTTAACGAGTTAACAGTGCCCCTTTTTTCTTAGATGTTAAAAACAAGATGGAGGTGTCAGAGGAACACATTAGGCATATAATGCTTTATGAATTTAAGAAAGGGAATGACGCAATTGCAGCCACAAAAAACATTCAAGATGTTATTGGTAGGGAAGCTCTAAATGCAAGGAAATGCCAACAGTGGTTCCAGAAATTCAGGTCTGGTGACTACAGCTTAGCTGATGAAGCTCAGGCTGACCTGTTGAGTTCGATGATGACCTGCTGATAGTCACACTTGAAGAAGATCCTGCTAATGAGTCGATTCAAAAATGGCTTGAAGTTCACAAGAATGCAGTGAAGAGCAAATGTTTAACCGATCTTTAAGATTGCCTGGTGATAACACATGCAGAACCCATTTTCCACAGTTTCAGACTCCCAGCAGTTGTTTCCTGTCCCGTCGTTTCCCAGCAGCAATGAACGGTGGAATGGGTCGAATTGAGTTTCTCGACAAGTTCTTCAACAGTTACAGCTTGATCTTCTTCAAGAGTGGCTATCAGCAGGTCATCATCGAACTCAACGGGTTGGCCTGAACGCGCTTCATCGGCTAAGCTGCTGTCACCAGACCTGAATTTCTGGAATCACCTTTGGCATTTCCTTGCATTTAGAGCTTCCCTACCAATAACATCTTGAATGTTTTTTGTGGCTGCAATCGCGTTATTCCCTTTCTTAAATTCATAAGTCATTATATGCCTAATGTGTTCCTCTGACACCTCCATCTTGTTTTTAACGTCTAAGAAAAAAGGGGCACTGTTAACTCGTTAAAACCTACACGTAGACTGAAGACTAACGTCTACACAAGTTAGCATATAAATATTCCATGAGATGTGCACAGATACACGTATAAACAAGACACAAGTTTGGCAATGTGAAAAACTGCATTACTTATGGGATGACCTGATACTAACAACCCAAAAAGCCTTGTTTTGTTTGCCATCCATGGCAACAGAGAATATAGATTGTAGGATATGAATCTTTATCCTGGGGACACTTTGAATCCAGGGTATCTAACTTTTTATATTGACAGCACCCTCAGTTTTGACCTTGGGCTTGTTATACAAGAAACTAGCATGCCAGTTGAAGAAGGGAAGTGTCAAAAAAAGTGTCTTAGTCAATGCCCACTGTCACAGGTGTCAAGCATGAAGATATTCCTTTATTTATTTTCTATCAATGCATGGATTCAGAGCATCAGAACACCTGTTGTAATCATGGCATGTACAGGGTGTCTCAAAAGTTAAGAATCATAGGAAAGTAGTATGTGGATTTTGGGCCGAGACTGCTTGCAAGCCACCCATCTTCATGAAAGCATAATATAATGCCAAAGTGACATAAATCACAGAGTCTGGTCCAAGTCATCCAGAATGACTGAAATTTACCAACTGACCCTACTTGAGCCTGATTATCCTGAAGGAATGGGTCTTTTTGGGTTACTTTGGGTGACTCATTGAATTTTGTGATTAAGGTATCTTTGGCATTTTGGTTACCTGGGTAATTGTAAACATGCAACAGTTTCATGAAAAATGAAAACTTATGCAACAAATCTTCAGTTTGTTCTTAAAATTCATTGTGTAGAATATAAATAACATTTAGCTGCATAGAAGTAATTCTGTGACTTCTTGGACATGTAATGCTCTGCCCTCAGTAAGGTAATTGATATCAAAATACTCTTGGATATATTGAATTTTTTAATGGTTGTATTAGGGCCACCTATTTGACACTTTATAAAACCTAGAAATGTTAGGTTTTCCTTTTTTTTAAGATTATAAAGAAAATATTTTAAATTGTGTTTCCTGAAGGTTGAAAATGTCTATGTTGTTTGTATAAAAAGCAACTGACATTCAAGCTTGAGTAAGGAAATGAAGTTTTTCCACATATCAGGCCAGTGCAGTTTCAGCATTGTTCAAAAGGTTTTTTTAGCCACTGTAAAGCCTGTTTTGTGTTTGCATTCTTGGTACTATTCTTGAACATGCAGTGTCCTCACAACTTAGCTCAGAAAGGAAGGCCTTGGTGTGATGTTTCATTTTGAGTATAAAGATTGGAGAGGGAAGAAAATAGAGTTTCAAATCAAGTCATGGATTACATTCTGTGCAGTCTCTTCTTCCTCCAGTCTTTTTAAAAACATCCCTTCATCACATTGATACTTCCTTTTGCAAACTGTGACATGATGACATAACACAATCAAGAACACTGGAGAAGAATGCAACCATGAAAACAGGGTTCTCAGCAACTGGTGAGACATCTGTACAGCACTGTTGATACCACTACAGTTAAATACATGGATAAAAGCTGGATTTTATTGCAGAAGTTTGAGTAATTATTATTCTTTATCCAAACATTCTAGAGACGTCTAACTTTATATTTTTTTGTGGTTGACCTTGATACTGGATGTCATAATTGGCAATAGTGGCTTTTGATGTTTCTATCCAGAACCTTGAACCATGGGGTAATTGAAACCCATTTTTTTATTTAAAAAATTTGAACTTATATTTATTGGCAGTAATCTTATTAGGCTGATGGAGGGAATGGATGGTGGGCATGTTGTTGCATGTCCTCTTTCTTCCCCTGTCCCTTCAATACCTTACAGGCAATTTTTTGCACTTTTAAGGCATTATGGATTCTCAGTGAAGACCTGATGAAAAGTGAATTGTACAGGTTGTTCAGATTGTATTTTGTTAACTGAAGTAACAGATTAATCTTCTTCATGAACCTGATGAGTTTTTCTTTCTTCGACAAAGAAAAGGCTGCTTTTAGTCCATTCCTTGTTCTATGACTGTCTATTCCTATTTTCATTGTCTAATGTAACTGAAGAAATATTACCTTCATCTTGGAGAATTTTGATTTGCTGATACAAATGGCATGGGCTCAATTCATTTTTGGTGATGTTCTTACTAAAAGAGAAATTTATTTTACATTTTAAGCATGCTTATATACTGGCCTTGAGTGACCAACACTGGTGAACAGGGAAGGGATGTTGAGGTAAATGTCAGCTGCAAATTTTCTGTTTTTATTTATTTTTTATTTGAAGTTCCAACAGAGTAAATTATTGAAACAGTTGTTATCAAGGTGCAATGTTCTGCCATTTTGTTGAATAAGATGACATAGCCTCTCTTTAGTGAAAAAAGGCCTACTTGTAAGTGGACTGGACTTACCTAGCTTGTTTTTAGTTATGTTGGAGTGCACCTCTGTCTGGGAGTTTGGAAGTAGGCAATTTGATATTAATTGATGATGGTGGTTGATATTACTTAATACATTCTATGTATGCTACCTGTAGGATCACTCTTCAGGTGTAATAGAAGAGAACAGCAAGAAAGACATGAATGGAAGCATCATCTCAGCAGAGTCTATGGTATAGCAGTTACATTCAAACCCTTGTCCCATTTGGGTTGAGCATCCCCCTTCTGTCTTCTGCATCATACCTTCTGCTCTTCTCCATTCCACATCCCATGGGCTTCCGTCTCCTACGTGATCTCGATTTATGAAAGAAAGCATGCTTAAAAATAACTTTTTTATTGTATCGTGTGCTGCTTGACCCTCCCTAATGTGTCAGTATTCTGTTTCTAGTGAGGGAAGCTGCTCTGTCTCATTCTTATCGCCTTGCAAGAATGTAAACCTGTTTCACCAAACAGGTCCCTCCTTAATTGCTACATTCAACTGCTGTCAATGTCTCAAATATAAGCTGGAAGCCTTGAACTATGGCAGTTGCCTTTCAAGAATAATAACCTGGTTCCATTGTTTATCATGACAGGAATTTTAGCAGCTTGTTGCATGGACCCCCTTCAGGGGACGAGGACATTTATGATATTACCCGGTTATGAATATTGAGTTCCTCCATTGAATTTCATCCCTTTTGTATTTGGTTCACCTTATTCTGCTTTTGCATGATCTTGTGGAAGGTGTCAATATGATTCCCTGGCCCCATTATATAAGTGCAGTGCAGTAAAAGAGTTCATATTTTTATAGTAGCATTTATGTATGAGTTGAGCTGGTTTTGTGTGAGGTATTTTTTCTTTTTGTCTTTGGTTTTTTCTCACTTTTTGTTCTTGGTCCTTTGTTACTGAAGAGCTACCACTGCTTGAATAACATTCACCTAGTCAGATTTTCATTAATCTCTTCCATTCTTGCTGCTTTGTGGCATGTCTCAAAGTTCACAAATGTTCCCTCCTGAATGATTTCAAGTTTTTTAGTTTCCTTTCTGTGAAGTGAGTAATCTGTCTTTCCACATTGTGGATATTCTTTTGGCATTTTAGCTGTGGGCTTTAAAAAATATTGAAATGCCAGCTGCTGTTGATTAGCAGAAAAAAAGAATTGACATGGACTGTGGAAGATCAAGTGCAAACCACGTAGGGATCCCATCCATCCTCTGCTTGTGTTTTTCATTTCCTGACACATTTATTCCAGAGGGACTCTGACTGAGGGCATCACCTCCAATATGTCTTCTTTTGCATTTTCTGATTCCCACTTCTTGTGCCTTATTCACTCCCATCTGTTTTACATCCTCAGCTTCTGCTGTCTTCTCTCCCTCTGAAGGATTGCTGAGATTTTTATGAAGATTTTTATGGCACATTACTGCAAGAGGAAAATAAATTTAATTCTCCTTTTTGCTACTTTTCATTTTTCATCTGCTTGTGTTCACTGAAGAGCAGCTAGTATGAAGCTGGCTGTAGGATTTTTTTTATCCTTGGAAGCTCTTTCAAGATATAGATTTTTCACATTGTTTCTATTGCAAAAGGGTTGAAGATCTGGATGAAACTCATGTATGCAGTCCAGATCCCTTGCTAAGTATGTGGACCATACCTGCACTTAATGTTTCAATGAATTCTTAGGTAAATAATTAGCTGTCATCTCCTCAGCTTATCAGGTAATGTTGATGCAAAGATGAAAGCAGCATTACAGTCACAATATTTTATTGTGCTAGAATACCCTAAAATGAATGGTGATGAATGAATGAATGATTGATGCCATAAAATGAGTGCCTAAAAGCCATGTCTTTTGAGGAAAGGCTTCTGGAAAGTTAAGTGTTTGAAATCATCATGTCATCATTTTGGCAGGTGAGTGTCTCTGTGGTTTAGGAAGAAAGCCATAAGGGGAGAAGTTTTCCTTGAAACTATTCTTAACCACAATCTTATGGCTGAAAACAAGTCTAGGGCAACAGGCATCACAGGGTTTGTTCAAGACATTTAGTTTTGTCATGCCCTGGTTGTGCACTAATATGTGGCTTTTCTTGGTGCCTTTCCCCCAGACCAGTGACCCTCCCAGACCACTCATGATTCTGTTTTTGCAGCAAACAGCCTTTAAGGCTTTTTCCATTAGGAGTAACTTTTGGCAGGAGATCAAGGAATATTTATATAACTGCAGGAGGTGTATTGAGGTGTGTGGCAGATCTGCTGAGAAAATGCAGGTCATTGGACTTTATGAAAAAAAGGAGTTCATAATAGCTCCAATGCCCACATCTGCTATTCAAACTTCATATCTCTAGGACTGAGTAGACCTGATCACAGATACATAATCCCAGAACATGAGGATCAAAGTTTGAAAGCCCATGTCTTCCCCATCCCTCATCAGCACTAGGTGAGAATGGTGATGGCCTTGGCTTTTTCTGGGTGTTTTCAACTCAGGTGTCAATCCAGGATAGCACCAAATTGGGTTTAATTGGAAACCCACAATTGGGAGACCCATTGGAAGTCTGTGAAAGGCAAGGTGACTTAAGCCCTTTATGAAGCAGAAAAGTCAGCAATAGGAAAAAAGTTGGTTTAGGTGAGTTGGAACTAGTGGAAACATTGTGATACTATTTTTAATTTTTTCATATTTCATGTTTACCAAATATACAAAATACATGTATATTGGATGACTCTATAATTGCCACTGCCTTTGTAGAGAAATGGAGGACTGGCAAGATATGTATAGTACATTGCAGGTGGCCAAAGTTTGTTGCTATAGGTTAACTCCATCTGAACCAGCTGCTGCAGCAAGTTATCACCTTGGCCATAGGAGAGTCCTCTGCAGTTAGAATATGGCCCTCTTCCAGGCACTACTTAACACTACTGTACCTGCAGTACTATTCACTGGATGATGGAGCAAGCTCCTGGGATCCTGAATTATCCAACTGCTGCTACATGGAAGCATGCACCAGCTGTACTCTTAGAAGTGGAGGTGAAAAGCCCTGGGCAGGGAATCTGAGGGTTCCCTCCCCCAACTTGATTGTTGCTTCCACTGGAGCCTTACTGGCTGGGGTTCATATTTTTCAGCAGCTCTTCACACGAAGGCCTATCGGGAACAATTACCAGCCATTAGCACCCACCATGATGAGGTTGGAATGGGTTTTGGGGGGGATAGCAGACTGCAGGTGGGGATCATACTAACAACTTAAGTGTAGTTCTACTTATTACAGCACAAATGCACAAACCTCATTTAGATGAGATTTATCTCACCTAAATGGAGGCCTTTATGCCTAAGAGCTCATTTCTCATCATAGGATTCCATGTATTCTTAAAGGACTGTTAACTAAAGGAGATTTCAGCATTTGGGCCTTACACTTCAAAGGTAACATATTATACCTATCACATTTAGAAGATGAGCACAATTCAAGTTCAAAAGGTTTTCCCCAGCAGGATGCTTACATTTTGCAATAAATTCATAAAAATTCTCTGAAATGAAGAAACATCACTTGAACACATAAGTATAATAAAAAGTTAAATATTAGTGTGAGAAAAAGTGTAAGTGACAGTAAAAGTAGATGATGAATTCTGGGACACCCTATATATCGCAAAAAATCCCATGGAATATATATTTCCCTGTTGAAAAAATTATTTTATCTGCAGTCTTCTAGGATGCAAGAATAACTTCAACTGAACTACTTTGAATTTATTGATCTCTGCATTGTGATTGTTCAGTATTTGAAAGACCAAACATGGTTTTAGTATAGGACTTAAAAATATTTACCTGGTCATCTCCTTCCTTTCTCATTTAGACTGCTGCACTAGACTACTCATTCACTTTTTGTTTCTTTGCAGTTGCAGATGAAGTTATTTGTCATATTAGAATTGGTACAAGGGTTTCCCTTGACTTGGTGCACTTGTTTTCATGTTATGTTAAGAAGTTTCAAAATCTGGTGAAATTCATTTGTGCTAGAATGCTTAATAATATAGGGGCAATGTAGTAACACTTTTCTTGCATAGCAGTCAGTGCAAAATAAAAGAAATATGGCTCAGTATTCCTTACCTTTCTGCAATGTCTTTTTACCATAGATGGCTCCTGTCAAATTACCAGAAAGCCTTCAAGATGTATGCCAAAAGCAGGTGGCAGCCTCACTTGTGCATGCCTGCAGGAACCACATCAATGTAGCTGATGAACTTCGGGCAGAGAAAAGCAGTGCTGCTTTGGCCATGTTTGTCCATAAAGTTCCATCAAGGTTCATTGAAGAGCTCCTTTCCACTACGCTACACATGTTGACCAGCAGATGTGAGATAAATGATTGTGGCTGTCTTAAGACAGCTGATTGTGGGCTTCATCAGACAGTGGAATTGTTGCTGTCTCGCGATGATCTGTCACTGATAAACATTGCTAACCTCATGAATCACAGTGCTGTGTTACGGAAGAACATCCCTGATATCATCTATAAGTGCATTCCTCATTGTCGTTCCCTCACGCATCTCAACATTTCCTTTCGTCATATTCAAACTCATCTTCCAGATTTGGACTTGGAATTCCTCCTCTTGTCCATTGCCCAGCATTGCCCTGACCTAGAGTTTCTGGATGTCTCTTTCATCAAGAGCATTGATGGCAAGGCATTGCGAAACTTGTACAAATCCACTCATGTAGGATGCTACAAACTTGAGACATTAATAATTTCTGACTGCCATCTCTTTCCAAGTGATGTTACTGATGCCTTGCTGCACCTTCCAAAGCTTTGCTATGTTGGATACATGGGGCTTGGAGCAGCTTTGAAGATCCTTCATGTCTTGAATCCAAATGTCCACCTAAACATTACCCATGTTAATGCCTTGAATTTCTTCCTCCATCACATGAACCAAGCCTATGAGTCAGAGGTTTTGGATGACGTCCTCATTGAAGTGATCTTAACCCAGTGTCCTTTTGTTTCTCATTTAAAGAGCAGGGTAGAGGATCAAAGCATGTCTAAGCTCCATTGCATAGCTGATCGAATCAAAGTGCTCGAGTTGTGTTTCAATAATGGGAATCCCTTAAATATTGGTCATGCAACAGTCCGTTATCTTAGGCTATATGGGCAGAATCTAAAATGTCTGACTCTTATTTGTCACAGGTTGAGAACATCTCATGTGAAAATGGTTGCTGAGTTCTGTCCAAACATGACTCAGTTTTGGATTAAATGCAATTGGCTTGTGGAGGATGAAATATTGAATGAGTCTTCAGTACAGTTCCAGAAGCTGCAACTACTGCATATCCATGTGGGTCGGCATTTCAAAGATCCAGTTGAAATCAGTGAGGGAATCTTAAACTTCATATTTTCACATGCAGAGTCTCTTGAGAACTTGCAAATTGTTGCAAATATTGAAACCTTGACAGAGGGATATTTAGAGCAAATGCTTGATTCCAGACACCTAGAAAGGTTGGAGAAATTGATTATTACAGTGCCAACATACATATTAACCCCTCGCCATGCAGTGCTAGCACTTACATCCAATTCTGCCCGCCGTTTAATTCTTGACTGTCCCAGACTCCAGCTACTAGGGAACCTGAATGTGTGGAATATTGACTTTGTTGCTTACGAAAATCTTGCTAAGTACATTCAAGATAATAATCTTGATGTTGAACTTGTTTATGAGGCAGACAGATCTGATGCAGACATCCTGTAATCCTTCATGCTTTGGAGAGGTATTGGATGGGGCTAGCTTGATCATCAACTTCACTTCTTCAAAGTCTCTTACCTTACCTAAATGAAAATTAGATTTTTAATTTCACTCAGAAGGTGAAACCCAACATAGTTTCAGCTACAACATCCAATTTGGTAATATCTGATACCTGATGAAGTGCAAATCAGGTTAATTTTTTTTGTATACTCCTTACTCAGGCTGAGGTTGTCTTAGAAGAGCAGAGGTCTTCCTGTCAAGGTGTCCTAGAATTATTGCAGGATTTTATTACATTATACAAACCAAACCATTCAAGAAGTGCACATGAAAAAAACAAATGATAACATTTAGCTGAAAGTTGGGAAGTTTCCTTACACATTTGTTTCAAAACTAATTCTTTGAACAGGATGTAGATGGTAATGCATTTACAGTGCAATTGCCAATATCCATTGGCATCCAATGGAGAGTAGGCAAAGTGTGTTACATGAATACAAGTTCAGCTAGCAGTGAAAGTAGCCTAAGAATTTAGGCAGATCCATCATGAAGAGCCATCCACTGAAACAACAACCAAGTAATGGTATGGCTAGCCTTTGCTTTGGTGGATTTCATGCTAGTGGTATCACATGCACTGGAATTATGATACCATGTAGGAACAGTTTGGAATAGCACCCTGTGATAGGTGTTGGGACACTCTGTAGATGTAATAAAAGAAAAATTTGTCATGTGAACCTGTCATTGTGGGCCAATGACTGGGGTCTCAGGCTTGTATGTGGAGGGTCCAGGTTCAAATCTGACCAGTGGCAGGTAGTTTTCTTCATAGTGTCAATTCACATGACTACCATTGGGCACCACCTGCATTTCCTTGGGATCAAGCAATTGCCACTACATTCTCCATAGCATGAGATTGAGGGGCTTGATGAACTTCAATTGCACTTGCCACATTGATCCTGCAGCCTAATTTGTATTGATGGATGAACCTAAAGTGTGTTTTCCCCTGAAATTGTGGTTCTAGAGTGATAGAAAGCCTGGAGTGTTGTAATACTAGCAGGGATGTCCAAATAATGTGATCACTTTCATGCATTATATGTTCAGTTGCTTATGGCATTGTTATGGCATGTGTCTATCACAGTCTGTTTATTTTTAACAAGAGAAATTTCATAAGCAAGCTGAAGCTTTCTTCCATAACCTTTCCTTCATGAGGAATGAGGACAGAGTTTACCTGTGAGAGCAAATGCTAATGCAAAAGGGTAAAAATAGGGTAGGACACAAGGTGTAGTGAATTCACATACATACATTTTCAAAACCATTTATCCTAACTCATTGGGGTCATAGCTCAAGGAGGTCCAGGAGCATGTTCAATGTTCACAATCCTAGGCAATGGTGGTATATCAAGCCTCACATGACAAATATATATCTTTGAAGTTAATTTGTCTTGTTAATTTTCCAAATATCTCATCTGTAAACATTTCACAAATAATGTTCCAAGCAGCATCCACTGATGAAACTTTGAATTGCCTACAGTTACTCAACATATTTGCATATTTAGGATAGTTGTAATGATAATTTTTGTTTTTCTTTGTCTGGTGCATGATCTATTTTCTATAGGCCTGTTTGTATCCCTCATTCTCCAACAATCTTGGAGCCTTCTTCAGCCTTCCCATATGGAAAAATCTTATGTCTGTCTAGTATATAATGGGGCATGTGTCACACCTGATAAGAGGCATGACCAAATCAAGTATGAGACATACATGAAATCAAGTTACTCTCACAAGTCTCTCACAAATGTCAAAAATAACTTCAGGAACTAAGTTGAGAATAGGCACTTCATCTGTCACTTCTGTGAAAATACAAAAACCGTTCACTTCCAACATCTCAAAGATATCCCTGAAATTACAATTACAGACTTCTTAGTGATATCAAAATATCTGGGTGCTTTTCTTTCTGAAACAGACTCATTTCCTGCCATATGGGACAACCCTTTAAAAAAAAAATGGTATTCTTCGACTGAAGATGTCTAAAAGACACCTCTAAGAAATTCTGAAGACATCCCTTTCAAGATGTTGGAAACCATTCAAATGAAGATGTCTTTAAAATATCGCATAAAGTCCTTGGGACAAGTTGTCCAGATGTAGACATCCCTGGGATATCACTGTGCGATGTGGACATGACCATACCATATAGACTGTTTACAGTGCCTTATGCATAAGGGATATATATTCCTAGTGATATGTTTTGTTAAGAATGGATGCATGCTGAACTTTTTTATACAATGTATGAAAGTCCTTATAAAAGCCATACGCTTAAACCATGTAGATCATCATATAAACAGGAGCCCATCCCTCAAATCACAGAATTATTTTATCTACAGGGTGATTTTTTCATTCATGGGACCATTATAAATATTTTGGATATAACATCAGTTTGAGCTGTGAATCATTGATGAAATGTGGGATTTACCTATTCATTCCAGATTCATCTGCAAAGAATCTGGATTGGTTAAGGCCAGGTATGAATTATATTTATATATGCAGTTCTCATGTGAGGTACTAAGCATCAAATCTTTTGGCATGTTATTCTTTCCCTTTGAATACCAGGCAAAACTTGAACATGAAGCTGGTATTGTATCTGAACTATTGGAGTACTACTGCATGTGCTCCAGCCTCTACCGTGTACCTGCTCACCATTCTGTTCTAGAAGCATAGAACTCAAGAACACAATTAGTTACAATTAATATTCCTTCCCACCAATAGTATCTAGTTCCAAGTACAAGTTACTTGTCTGAGCTCAATCAACTAGGAACCAGTCTTCATTCTGGTAATATTCTGGCAAATGACAGAAATTTCCATCATAGCTTTGTATTGCATCTCAAGGAGGGTTTATACATGCTGGTGTAGAAGATTCTCTGGGTGAGGAATCCTATCCAGACAACTTGTGTCTGTGAATGTGCTTCAAGGAAATAGAGCTCAGTACATCATGAAGGGTTGCAAAAAACCTCAACTTCATTCAATTCATGCAATTTCTCTTGCATATGCCGAGTCAGCTCTTAACCCCTTGAACATATGATGCAACCCTATGTGTCATGGGCCAGGACCATCCCTGATACACATGATGCATATGGGTGCATCATGCAAATTTTGAAATTTTCCACTGCGACCACTCTTGCTGACATCCGCATGATGGTTGATCATTTCTCTGATATTTGGCAGATGTCGTACTGGTACAGCTTTTAGGTTAAAGCTCACCTGTTGTTTCTCTACATAAAGAGAAATGATCCTGCCTGCTGCACTCCCCCCATCAGCAGTCATAGTGTCTGAAGAGGAAATGTAGTGTTGAAGAAAGTTTGGTCAGTAATTTACTGTGTGAGAGTGATTCTGACTTTGAGTGTATGTTAAGTAATTCAGAATATGAGTCTTCAATTATAGAATTTGACTCTTCGAGAGTAGATGTTAACAGAAATTCAGAAAATGATTCTGGTGACTCCAGTGACAGTGATGACAAGTGTGGAGACACAGTTGCAGAGATGGCAGTTCAGGCTGTGCAAAGTGGGCACATGAAAAACTACTTCCAGAAATACCACAAAATCTTGTTGAGCCCTTAAGCTAAGAGCTAAAGTAGACACAAAATAGGCCAATTTGTCAAATAACACTTTCTTTGTAAAATAAATAATGAATTTTATTGAAGTAGGTGTATCAGGAGTTCACTTAGATTCATTTTCTGGTCTGTTCAAGGAGTTAAAAGAGCTGCTTCTCCAAAACTGACATTAGAAATTATTGTTATCAGTGAAAATCTCCCCACTCACCCTAAGTAGCCTCTCCACAATGATTGGTTGGGGTATAACACTCTTGATCTCTATTTTCAGCTTTTTTTTTTAGTGATTTCAGTGATGGCAAGGATGAATGTTGTAATACTGCACTTGCCACTTTAATCTGAAGTTGAATCTGTCATCAAGAAAGTAACACATTACATTCATGCCACTGTCATTTTCTTTGGTAAAGGAACTAGTTACTGCTTCCATTACAAAACCCTGCAAAGGAACTCATTACCACTGAAATTACCATAAAATGTAATTAATTACTATAATGTGTTAATATGATTTCATACCTGCTCAACACAGCAAAGGACCTATGGATTGCTTCCTGCTACCAGTTCAGTAGTGTGAATCCTGAAAGTTCCTTTCCCATGAATGAATTTTGGAAACCCATTTACCTGCCTTATCCTAATTTTTCATTACTTGCACTTGAAAGTACATTATAGAAATCAGGTTTGTGCAGCTTAACTCTTACTGTAGAAGATTCATTATTGGACCACCATTGTCAGTGTGGGAGGTATTGAATTCTTGCATTTGATGTCTTGAGTCTTGACACTTTTTTTTAAATTCCTTTTCAGATTACTTTTTCTTAATCAGCATTGGCATGGTCATTCCAAGAAAGTGTATTTGCTTGCCACCATGAATTTCCTGAAATTTACAGAGTTTGAACTCAAGAGGTTCATCCCTGCGAGAGACCATGGTGAATCAGGTATTCAGCAAACAAAGAATGTTCAGCAAGACTTGGGAGATGAGGCCAAGCAATTCTATGAAGCAGTGATTAATGAGCAAAGTACCCAAGAAGCACAATCAGTCCACAAACCCACATGTACTCTTCATGGTGAAGAAAAAATCCCTTCAGGGCAGAAAAGGAAATTGACATCAATTCTGACCCTGACTCCATTTCAGCAACAGAGAATGTTGTATCGGCTGTTAAAAAGTGTGGAAGACAATGATGAACAAGGGACAAGTGAGCTGCTTGACAGAGGTGTGGAAGTGAACAGTGTTGATGTGTATGGTTGGACTCCTTTGATGTTGGCAGCTTTTCATGGACATCATGAGCTCACCAAATGTCTGGTGAAGCGAGGAGCCAACATTTCTTTGAGAAATAAGAATGGACTATCTGCATTTGACCTTGCCCTTCATCAAGGCCACTTGGGTCTTGTGGACTACCTCATTACCCAAAATAAACGAAAAATGGATCAACCAGATGTGTCAGCTGAAATTCCTGCAAATGAGCCTGAGCCTGTTCTATGCAAAGAGTGCAATGTCTTAGTTCCTGTGAAAGAAAGGAGGAAACATTTAACATCAATGGTGCATCTGTTAAATACCAAGATGACTACACATTCAAGCACATATGGAATCCCTGAGTCAAACAAGGGATTTCAAATGCTACTGAGGAGTGGGTGGGACAAAAAGAGAGGATTGGGTCCTTCAGGTGAAGGTCAGAAATTCCCTGTTGCCACAGTGCTCAAAAGAGATCGAGGAGGGTTTGGCAAGGGGTGTCATGCCAAGCCTCACATCACACACTTTTCTGCATTTGATGCTAGAGCTGTGGCCAGTAGAGATCTTCATGCATTTACATCAAGAACATTTAGAAAGTGGAGACTCAGTGAAAGGCAGAAGAATGATAAAGAGAAAGCCAGGAATTTTCTACGAATGTTCAATGAACCTGACACATGATTATTTTCATTTTCCTGTGTAATTTGCAGAATAAATTTATTTTATGCTCTAGATTTGTTCTGCTTCTTACCTCGTGAGTCACCTATGAGTAACTGCTCCTCTTGTTCCTTGCAATGTACAGGGAGCTTGGAATAATTTCTTTTCTTTTGGGGGAGCAACTGGAAATATTATTTGCTATGTTGGCCTTCCATTTGATTGTATTAACTTGATAGCAGATTTCATAGCAATGATTGTCCTCTTGAATTACTCTGCATGAATTGACTCTAACATTGGTTGCAATAAATGTGGAAATGCCAAGGTGAAACTATATTTGAATTATGGTGCAGTTGATTGAGTTGCATGGTTTACCTCATTTCTGATCTCTTTTGCTAATGCAGTCAAGCTTGTGATTTTTTGTGCATAGCAATCAGGTGTTAGTTAATTCAGGATTAAATAGTGTGAAGCATGGCAGTAGATGCAGCTCAATTAAGGAATCACATCAAAATGCTTGAATGGCAAGCAGAAGAGATTCTCACTGATAAACAAGCAATTGTCAGCCTTGATCAGAGAAGGAACAAGAATCGGGAAGCTCTTAGAGCCTTGCATGGTGTAGATGATACAAAAAGGAGCTATGTGTGTTTTGGGAACATGTTCATCAAGTTACCCAACAAGGATACTGTAGCTATTCTCAAAAGAGGTATGGATTCCATTTAGTCACTGGAGGTCAGTTTCTAACCTGTCAACAGGATTTGAAGTTGTCATTCTCAATCAATCTAGATCAACAGAAGTTGGATGAGGAAATTGAGCAACTGAGGAATAATTTGAAACCAAAAGTGAATGTCCTTCGAGATTTGGAGGGGAAGTCAGAGCTGGCAGGTTTTAATCTCCAAGCCCTCAGCAAGGAGGAAATGGTTGCCATAAACCAAATCCTCAGTCTCTGAATCAAAGTGAGACCCCTCTCTTGATCATTTTTCAAGTTTATTCCAGGCTTGACATGACATCATCAGGATAACTCAGTTGTATTTGAAGATCTCTTCCATGTACCATTCAGGGAGAAAGTAGTATGGTGAGTCTCTCCCCTCTGTCCAATATGTAACATCTTCTTTTGGTCTCCAAGAAAACACATACACCATGTCTTTGTTGCTTTCCTTCATCACAGACTTCACAAATGTGAAGAAGTGAGCACAGAAGTTCATACAGACATTTGGCTGCCACAATCCCTAAGTATAAAAAATATATAATTGTAAAAATATATTTAATTTCATAATTGGAAACTTCTTCAAATACTTTCCCTCAACATTTCTTATACTCCCAATTCAAGTTGTGAACGTGATGTAACTATTCTTTCAGAAACTGCTGTTTTCCTCTCACATCCCTCAAAAATCTGTTCTGCAAGTGGATGACCTAAATGGTCTAGATTATATAGTAATGGTATGGGCATGTTGAATAGAGGTTAAAAAGGACAATTGGATTTGATTAGGGTTAGGATTAGGTTAAGGATGATATAAAGCATTTTCTGGAAAATAATATGCCTAGATTTGGTGTCATGTTCATAGAATGTTTCTGGGAATCATGCAAAATGGAAACAATCCATGTTGGAGTACTACCACCTTCATGTTTATGCAGGTAGCAGGTGGATGCTTGAAAATTTCATGGTGTTTTAAAATTTGTCTTGTTGTAGGATCATTGGGGTTATGCTGATTATTGCAATATTTTGTTGTTTAACAATATTGTTCCTATCAGCGATATGCCTGCATATTGTGGTATTGTTTTTCAACTTCATTGACCCTTCCTGATACTCTTGTATGCATTCATGGCTGACTGTGGTTGATTACAGTATGAAAAGTTCAATGATTGACAAAGGAAACCTCAAGTTGGAAGCTTTCATCATTAGCCATTCCCCCTAATTGCTAAGCCTACATGGCTATAAGGCCTGGTGAAGGAAAAACAAAATTTTCGTTCCTGAGTGATTCTCCCCAACCATTAGACCTAGGGAGCATAGGAAGGAGGTAGCATGAACAAAAGGGGAGAAATAAGACATGGATCACCATAGCTCAATGGCAACACCTAGTGATTCTCCTTAACACACCTATTGTTCTTGACCTTTTAGATTTTGAGCAAATTAAAACTTAAAAAATTGGTTTTTGAATCAATGAATGAATAACATATAACAGATGTTAAATTTGTAGAAAATAATATAAAAAATTGCCAGAGAGTAATGCAATAAATCATACCCTACCATAAATACCCTACCAATGGACTCCTGTTGCCTAGAAAAGGGTTAATCTACCAAGTCTCCATAGATGAAATGTATTAGATTACTAGCAGTATGGTCGTGCCTTCAGTGCTCCATTGTCCAGGATAGTGATTCATTCATAATTTTTTTTTTATGTGGCAAAAATGTATTAAAAGTATGTCCCTGTCGAAATATGAACTGAGAGGATGAACTGATATTTTCATAGAAGTACACTGGAGGACAAAATTGAGGTAACACTGTTTTTCATCAAAATTGAATTAAAATAGTAATCTATTAATAGAATGTGAAAATATGTTACTATACGTACATTTACATGCAAATTCTGAATATCCAATCAAAATTGATCTACGTGTGTTGCAACGTGAAAATTAGTGAAGCCTATAAAAGGATGACAGCTATTGTCTTCTTCTAAGCATGTCTGTTGGAACATGTCATTTTTCATTCCATGATGTAATTATCATGACTGTTATTACCAGTCCAAAGTTCCTTTTTTTTATACACTTATTGGTAATGATAAACTGTATCTCTGTACAAATTTTCATTGATATAACTCACAGAATAAAGACGTTATTCTGGCTTTTGTGATTGTTACCTTAATTTTATCCACCAATGTAATTACGTTGATCAAGTTAGAAATAAAGTCCCTTCATAATTTGCCTAATCTGGGGATGTAAGTGAAAAGTGGGATCTGCAACCAGCAATCGAACAGGAACATCAGCTCCAAGTTTCAACTTTCTTCAGTTCTGTCTTTCATTGATACAAAAAAGATTTGGGAAAATGCATCTTTGCATAAAATGTGCCTGCAGGGGTTTCACCTAAAAATTAACATTTTTACTGAAATGAGTACTTGGAGAAGTACTAGCCCACTGAGTTCAGCCTTATCCATTAGCCCTTTTCGTAGGCACAAAAATATCTTTGGAAAAGCTGACCCAGCCAAAAGCTGTGCTTTATGTACTACAAAAGTTGAATTTTTTAAAATAAACTCAGTATCTCCTCAGTTAGGCATATGCCAGGTATCACCTTTCTATCTCTGCCCAATTCACTAGGACAAAAAAAAATTAATTGAAAATGTCACCCCAAAAGTATGCCCCCAGGGGATGTATGAAACCTGACATTTTTCTTGAACTCCTTGTCTCAGCAGTTACATTCATACAAAGTTTCAGCTTTCCACGTTTATCCATTTGACTGAAGCAATAAATTAATTTTTAAACATCTCTCCCTGAAATTTGTACCCCAGGGGATTTACCTCCTAAGTCTGATTTTTTATGAACTCAGCATACCAATAGGTACTTTTCTGTCAAGTTTCACCTTTCTATTTCTGCTCAATTTGCTAGGACAAAAAAAAAGCTATTTGAAAAACCACTAAAACTTGCCCCCAGGGCATGCACCTGAAACTTAACATTTTTCCTGAACTCAGTGTCTTAGTTGGCATGTCCATGTCAAGTTTCTGCTTTCCATGTCTCTCCATTTGATTGAAGCAAATATATATCTTTGAAAACATCTCCCCCCAAATTGAGTCCCCTCAAGGCATATACAGTAAAAACTCATTAACTTGAATCCTGGTAAGTTTAAATTCTGCTCATCTCAAAGCTCAATGCTTGGTCCTGGTTGAATCCTGTGAGACACCATGTTAAATATTCAGTTTAACTCAAATTTGCTTATCTCGAATTTCTAGATATCTCGAATTTCTAGATATCTCGAATGACATTTTCACTTCTGATTATGATTTTCTCATGGTTGAAATGGAAGGGGGGAAAAATTATTGTGGGATCTGTCAATTTTTTGAAAGGCAAGAAACCTGTTCAGGAGAAAATCCTTTTGTTTCCTTTTATACTGTCTCTCCCTCCTCCCTCACAGAGGCCTGTAGAGAGGATTAAAATTGATTCTGCAATAAAAAGAAGCAACCTCTAGCACTTTCACAGTCTGTCTATTGCTCTCACTTCCAGCCATTCTAGTCATGTTTGGTTTCTGGAGAACAGGATTAAGGGCATTTTGATAAATGAGTTTTGCAGATGCAGTATCTAAGTTTCCCTAGAAATGAATTAAAGCCAATCATAATGAGGTCATAACTCCTCGATATCAGATTCTTGAGGATGGAAAAATCGCCCTATTATATCCCTTAACATGAGGTTTTTTTTTTATGGGTAGAGGCAATTCTTGGTAAGTTGAACTCTGGACAACTTGAAATGATTTGCCTGGTCCCAAAAAGTTTGAGTTAACAAGCTTTTATTGTACCTCCAAAGTCTGATTTTTTCTGAACTCTACATCCCAATATGTACTTGTGTACCAAGTTTCAGATTTCTAACTTCTCTAGAACATGGTTAGAATTAGCATCAGTCCTGATTGTCTATATATATTAGATGTTCAGGAAGTACGTGTAGATATTGTTTCTCATAAAAGAAATATTTCTAAAACTATAATGTTTGGGGAGGGACTGGATAGAGGCATGGCTGTATAAAGTCTCCAACTGGTATAATTAATGTAACAATTTTAAATCAATTACTGGGCTGCTTTTTCTATGCTGGGTGTTTCTAAAACATTGATCTATTGCCTTGAAATTTCAATAGTTTATTGATGCCCCCCAGGGAGTGGAGAAGGGAGGGGTGCAGGAAGATTCAGTCTTTTGTCTGGACATGGATCTCTATCCATCTTCCATAATTGCTCACCTATGATCATGGAGTGCAGGGGGATGTGATCTTCATGACATGTTTCACAGCTTTCTTGCCATTGATTGGAAACTCAACAGAGGCAAAAGTACATCAGTTTCTAAGAAATCTTCATGACAATGCATGAAGTCTTCCATAAACAGTTTATCGCAATGTAAGGGAAATATTAGCCTGTTATTGAATGCCCTGACCAAGAATGGTTGTTGTGGTAGAATTCAAATTCCACTCCTTACTGTTACATTACAGTACCATATTCCATCTTGGTTCTCAGATCCAGGAGTAGTAAGGAAAGTAATGTTCAATGTTAATTTTTTTGTGGAAGATATCATGAGTCAAGGAAATAATGCCACAAAGAAGGATTGATTTAAAAAAAATTACCTGCTACCAAATCATTGCTCTGCTTCCCTCTTCCTGTCATTAAATTCATAAATGCTGAAAGTTTCCCTTAGGGAATATTTAAAATCTGCCTACTATTACTGGTGAAATGACTAAAAATGCTAAAAATAAACGAGCATGAGTGGATTGTATTTTATGTTGCTTTTATTTTATGTGATGTAACACAGACATTATTATGAGACCTCTGTTAGTCCAGTAAAGGAAACCTCTCAAACTTGAACTTATTCCTCCCATCCTAATAATGTCCCCCTCATGTATTCTTATGTGACCCAGCAATGAACTCAGAGTCCTTTTGCACATGCCTTTGTTAATAGAATATTTCACTTTAATGAATAGTATGTTTACTTTTCCTTGTTAATTCCTTCAATTCTGAAGTTGCATGTAGACTAGGAAAGGGGGGGTTTGGTGGTGGTTTCAGTCCTGCCACTCAACATGTGTTATTGACCACATCAGGGCCTGTTAGCTGAAGTAGAATGAATCTTGGAGACTGGACTTAGTGGTAAAAGTACATGAGAGACAAGGTGTAATTCTTTTTTTTTTCCATTTTACAATATTTTTAGATTTTACATAATTGCATAGCTAGGTTCATTTTTAGCAACCTGGCATGCAGAGCTTAATGCTAACAAGGGTTGCGTAATGAAAACTATTGCAACAAAAAAAGGACCTGCCTTGGAAAGTAAACTTATTTCATATTTAGACCTGTCTTTTGTAAGTATGCAATGAAAAATTTAAATGAATAATAATAATGTAATAGTTACTTTCTTCTCTAAACATAAAATAATTGTGAGACAGCAAATCAAATCATGCAATTTTGCTGAATATCATGGTGTTAAAAACTCTGAAATGTTAAAGTATATCTCCCTCCCAAAGTCACCAAGCCACACCTAATAACAAAAAAAACTCACAATGAAAAAACTTTTTATGAAATCACTGACCTGAGCAATATGGTGAAGTTTTAAAGTCTCATATTCTTCAATCTTCCTCACAACACCATCATCATCTCGAAAGCCACAGATGATTCTTGGTATTCCAGCCAAATATGATTGGGCCCACCATTTCACTAGCTTGAATCTTATGGACAGATATTCTTGGTGATCCTTAGTGAAAATTCAAAATTCATTGCATGAATATCTGGGGAAACAACCTTTTGAAGTTACGATCTTGATTAGGGTTCTCAATGAGGCGGGAGGTTTTCAGTTCCACCAGATTGTTGGCTTTGAGCCCTTTGATTGGGTCAGCCACACCATCGACCTCAGCTGCATACAGGAGCATATGATCTGCAATACGAGATCTGAATACACAGGAAAATTCCTCATTCTCATTTAGAGGAGCCTCTGTGTTTGGTTTGCCATTTGGGGAGTCTGAAATATAAAGTCAGAAATTTTCCATCATTCTCTACTCAAGTATCTTCTAGTCTGCTATTTAAACACACCTGACATCAAATGCTGTTCAAACTTGTAGCCCCAATGACCCATTTCCCTTTGCCTCTCTGTTTGATTCAGGATCTCCTTCCTCTTGGCATCTGTCCTGAAGGGACAGAGATATATGGAATGTTGGAACTTGATGGCAGCCACTTTCCAGTCCTCTCGGTTCTCATATGGAGTGCAGAAGAGGAGTGTCATGTGCCCTCGATAGCATATGAAGTCTGCTGAGATCCTGCACAAAGCCAGTTTCCTATTGCAACATGCTTGAAATTAAAAGTCACTTGGGATTTGCCTCTTTGAAAGTAATACACATTTTTTTCACCTTTGCTTATTCTCTTCAATAGCTTCATGCTTATGAAGGAGGATCCACTGCAGGATGTTGTCAAGTTTTTCCTCCAGGAGGGAGTCTTTCTCTGAAGTGGTTGCCTTGCCTTTCTTGAGGTCCATGAACACATGCTTTGGGTTACTTGGTGGACAGTAGTACTTGATGTGGGTATCACTATCAAGGAATTCCCGCTCTCCATTGATGGAGTAGTGGCCAGTTATGCTTGGCTCAAGGAATCTTGGGAATTTGTGATCATAATCTTGAACACTCACTTTGAAGCTGGTCATGGCTTCTTATTGAAGAATACAGTGAGCGTTTTTTCATAGGAAACTGAGATGATGTCAATAAAAATATTTCTTGAAAACAATAAACTTACAGATGAGAATCTTAATTATACATTGGGCACAAGTACAGGTGGGAGAATACTCCTGCCTAAAATAAAAAAAAAATATTGAATTTCCTGTATTCTGATGGACCTGATAATGAGCATATTTCTTGCCCGGTAGCCCTATTATTGAGCACCTTCAGGTCATGTCTGCTTTTGTGAATTTCAGAAGATGATGTGAGAGAAGCATGGCTGAAGAAAGAGCAGAGAAGCGTCTTTTTGTGGGGAACTTGTTCCCTGATGTAAAGGAGGATGAGCTAAGACAACAATTTGTGAAGTTTGGAGATGTGAATGCAGTTGAAGTGAGACATAAGAAAGATGTGGAAGGAAATGTTGTCAACACATTTGCCTACATCAATGTCAGGCTATCAGAATCTGTTCTGGCTAAGTGTAAGTTCATGCAGGTGGAATTGTATTAAGTGGATGCATTGGTTTACTTCAATGGATGCATTGCAAAATGTTTTTTGTGTGCCATAGGCTTGAAGGTGTATAATAACTCAGTGTGGAAAGGGTATCAGATCCGACTTCAGCTGGCTAAGGAGGGATTTCTTCAAAGACTTGCTAAAGAGAGGGAGGAAGTCACAAGTCAACTACAGAAGGAGAAGAAAACAAGAACCAAGTCCATGGATACCAAAGGGGAGCATTCCCAGTCACAAGACCAAACCTGTCAAATTGAAAAATTAGAGAACCATCTTTCCAAGAAGCTGTCTTTACATCCTGCAAAACGAGTGAAGTTGTCAAAGTGTGAACACAAAGAAGAGCAAACTGAATTGGATAGTGATATCTCAGATCATGATGGCATGCCTGACTTCCCAGGAACAAAAAACCTCACAGGAGAAGTTGCTGATGCCCTTAAAGACATCTTTTCTGCCTCAGCTGAGAAAATTGTATCAAGAACATGTAGACATTCAAAGGAGTATAAGCAGCAGACTGAAATCTTTAAAAAAGAAATGAAGCAGGATGATTCTGTTAAAGATGTCCTCAAACGATTGGAAGGATTCAGCTGTGTTTGGAGGGATGCAGATGAATCACATAAGAGAAGTGCTATGAGGTGTGGGAGTGAAGAGGTAACAGGGAATCAGGGAGAAATGGAAAGAAGAAAGAAGCAGGAGTCAAATCAGAAGCGACTACAGTCCATCAAAGAGATGCAGAAAATGGCAAAGGAGAAGCAGAAAGCCATCAAAGAGTCATTAAAGGTTCTGGCAACATCTTCACATTCTTCTGATATTCATTTAGGGCAGAGAAAAAAATAGTATCACTTGAAATATAGATCAAATGTACTTATTCCATATCAATTGCAATGAGATGCATTGTGACTCATTGTGATATGTGCTACATGGGTTTTTTGCAGGAGGAAGGGAAAAGAAAGAATAAAAAGATAGTGTTTGACTCTAATTTGGAAGAGGAGGGAACTATACCTCTTATTCTCCCTAAGAAAGGGAGCAAGAAAACCCTTTTTGATGAGGATGATGACAAAGACATTGAGGAGGCTGATCAATTCCAGATTCGACCACAGTTTGAAGGTCCTCATGGAGCAAAGGCAAATATCCTCTGACACCACATTCACACCTGTATTTGTTCTTTCTGGTGTAATGAGGATATATGCTGTTTCCTGTTGGCAGTTCCTGGAGCTGCAGAGCCGTTATGGGACAGATGAGCGATTTCGCTTAGATGCCCGCTTTGCAGAAGGTGCAGGTGCTGATGGCAAACAGGAGGAGGAAGGGGTGAATGAAGAGAAGGAAAGAGAAAGAGAGAAGCAAATCAGAATTCTCAGCCAAGTCTTGGGCAAGGAGATTAGGCTAAAGAAATCAACTCCCAGGTGATAGTTCCCATCTAGGTCTATGTTAAATTACATTTCATTTACAACCTTGAAGAATGCTTATAAGAATCATGTATGACCTGTTAGGAAGCCTCAGATGACACGCTTTGATCCAGCATTCCAGCCTGAAATTAAATGCAAAAATGAGAATGAGACAAGGAATAAGAAGAAAGAAAAGACAAAGTTAGAAGATGAAGGTGATGAATCACTGAAGATAATCCCAGAGGTTTCTAAGGAAACAGCATATGCAGTTTCAGAAGACCTGACCCAGAGGTTTAGGGGAGACGGGAAGAGAGAATTCCTTATTTCAGCTCTGTTCAGTCAAGATGGGAACTTCCAAGGTTTGTTCTATTCTCCACTTTAGTTCCATATACTATATGAGCTTAGTTCCATATACTTTAGGTACTATATGAGCATGAACCTCAAATGCTAGTTTCTTCCAAAAGTTGCCCATTTCAAATTGCCCTTTGTTTGGGATATAGATGCAGAGGAAGAGAAGAAAAAAGCAGTTAAAGTCACAAAGAAGCTCACCCAAATTAAGGGTCAATCTGTGAATCCCTTCAGATATGATTCATCTGACACAGATGAAGGGGATGAAGAAGTGGTTGAACAGAGAGTGAATGAGTCTTTGGCAACCAATACTGCTTTCATACTGGGATCTGGTTCTGGGTCCAGATGGTTTTTCACACCTGATGATCCTCGCTTCCAAGGTTCCATTTTTGTGTATCCAGAATCATCTATATAATTTAAGGTCTGAAAGAAAAATTGGCCCCTACAAAAAGAATCAGAGAAACACAAAGTTGGGCTTAAATAAAAAAAAAACTCATTTTCAAGGTCACTAGAATCATTTCTCTTTTTTCTGAAGCTTGAGAAACAACTTTTTTGCAATTGACCATTTTTTCTTTCAGCCTCTCAATTGTAGGCAATTCTACCATTTGAAATAAGTGACTTCTTTTCTCTTTAATCAATAGCTGCTCATAAGTTCCTGCAGAAGCCTGATCAGCCAGAGCAGGAAATTAGGGCTGAATGGCGAGCCAAACGACCTGCCCTTTTGACTCGACTCAAGAAACGTACTAGGGATGCTGTGCGACGGAAAAGGCAGCATCGTAAGCAGCATTCCCATCATGATAGGACATGACACCTTTTATTCATTTATCAATTGAAAATTATACAGTGAATAAAGGGTATGCAAATAATGCAAATGCAGTTGTGACTAGAGAGAAAGCGCCATCGTAAAGAAGCTTGGGAGCAAACACAGACCAGATGAATAAGTGGTATCTTTGGATATAAACCATAATGCAGATAAAACTTGCTGGAAGAATCCGATGAAACAATAACATGGAGATGAAATGCCCACTTGTCTCCTTTGACCTAGGATTAATAATACATTTGAATGATGTATAAATATGTACTCAGATTCTGTAGCTGCAACAGTTAAGAAACTCACACCAGGGAATGTTGTGATGAGATGAAAGTAACTGTGGCAGATATGAGCCAGAAACTGAATCCTGCAAAGGTGTTGAAGGTTAACAAAAGTCCAGAAAGGATGGGACTGTATGATGTAATGCCAATAAAGCCTGCTCCCATATCAATGGTGTCCAATCTGTTTGAGTTTCCCTAGAGGAAAAAAAACTTATGAAATACAAAACAGGGCAATTTCTCATTGAATGATAGTGATTAACATACAGTCATGAAATGTGTTGTCAGGGCACACACCCAGTAGATGGGGAACAGGAGCCATGGATCATGGCATCGCATGGATTTCAATACCTGCTTACAAGCCAATTCCCAAGGGATGATGACCCCTCCAATCAAGGGAACATTGGATGACTTAGCAAGCAAAAGCCACACAAGAATGCTTGCCTTACGAATCCCTTCCAACCCCTTCAATGCATCCAGGTTTTGTATGATCCAGTAAGCTGAGATCAGGATCAGGGCAATTGCAATCAAGTACACAAGTTGGGCTTCAAGGATACTCCTAGAAGAAAACCAGGGTGAAACATTATCTTTTATTTTTGAAAGAATAATGAAGAAACAAGGAATCACCTACTGACTGCCAGATGAAGATAGATTTTGACTCTTAGCTAGCTGGAACTTCCAAATTAAAACCATTCCCAGACTGAAGAGAAAACCTGACACAATATCACAACTAGGAATCACAACGATGAAGGTTGATATGGCCAATGCACATGGAATGACTGTCAAGAGGATATTGTGACTCTGTGGAAGGCAAAGAAAGTCACCAATGTCTGAGAGATGGACCCATTTGTCACCAGTCTGGTTCCATCGTCTCCCCAGAGCAAACATTCCCAGAGAAAAAATAACAGCTGGAGATGTAGACCTGGGTGCATGGACAGCAAAGAGAACTAGTGTGGTTGCAGCTAAGAAATACCATGTTTGATGTTCTTCTTCAATGAAGCTTGTTCCCCCAAGAGTAATAACATGCAACCATGGCATAGCTTTCATGAGATGTTTCAATCTGTTTCCCTCTCCAGTAGTATTCCTTCCTACCTTCATGTTGCCCAGTGCTGCATATCTGGCAAAAATGCAAGCCAACTGAAGGCACACAACAGTATGCAATGTTAGCACCAGCAATACCCCAAGGAAGCTCAACTGACAAAGGAAACAACCAGATGAGAGAAGGCACACAATGATGTGAGAGGGCACAGTTATGAACAGGTACTTGGAACATATTCTAGCATTTGGAACAGCTGTCTTGCATGATTCATGAAAGAGCAGCATTCCACCCATGAAGCACTGAAAAAGACCAGAGGAGTACAGTAAAAATCCATGGGGAAGATCTGCTCATTCCCATTCTCAAGACATTGAAATAAGCAAACTGACCAGGAGCAGGATGACAATTCCAACAAGCATTGATGAAGCATCATACTTCCCACTTAAATGGAGCAGGTCTTTTTGCAAAACCTCAATCCCAGACACAAGAGTGTTCTCTTCTTGCAATGCAGCTTTGGAGTCCAGAGAAATGTTCCAGAACCATGACTCATTTCTCTCCACAAGATGCTTCACAGACCCTGCCCAAGAACATAAAATTGACAGGTTTGTTACATGTGTCTCCTCCAGACATGGTTATTTCACTTTCATCATGGTGTTATGAAGACCAAGGGAGTGAGCCTTTCACACCATACATTTTTCATTTAAGTTCTTTTTAAGAAAGGATAAAGTAATTGGCAGGTCAGCAGAGAGGAAACAGCCACAGGAGGTGTTACATGATTTAACCTTTTAAGTGTTATGTTTTCCCAAAGGCACTACCCCCACAGTTACATTCTTTCCTGAAAACATCAGACAGATAATAGCAAACAGATAGATGTAAGTAACCTCTGACAAGGTAGTCTTGCTCCTGCCACAACCAAGACTGCAGCAAAGTTCATGAATGAGTACACCTTAGTTACACAGACTGTTGGTTTTGTGTGGACAAGTAGCACTCATCACAAGCACTCAAAGGGTTCAAATGTAAAATCCACATGCCTATTATGAATTAGCATTAAAAACTAATAATTGATAAAACTTTTAGTTATAACTAGTTACTTATGGAAATCAATTTGCTCCACCCAGGTTGCTTCATCTGCTAATAGTTGCAGGTACATTTTTAAAATGAAGTAAGTAGTTTGTTTTCATACTTTTATATTTATTACAAATTTGGTATCATCAGGTTTGATTATGCCAAATTAGGAGTACTTGAGCAAAGGTCTTGTTCCTAAATCCAAATGAACCTCAAAATTCCCATTTTCAGTAGGTAGCCATCTCTGCCCAAACCTAACTGCAATTCATAATGAATTCAGAAAAATAAGCACTAGTGAAGAGTACCAAATCACTGAGGCTCATGTTGAACAATATGACTAAAGTTTTGTTATTCCATTTCCCTCATGTATTTTCCTTTCCTTAACTTGCTGTATATAAATAAGAGGCAGAACTGAACCAAAAATGTGTCTCAGGAGACAGAAATGATAGGTCAGGTCAACCCTCAGCTGATACCTCTACTTGTTCTACATGGCTGTGACGGCATCCAGGAGAGTAGACATATTGGCTAGTGATATCACAAAAGGGGAGTAGATTTACATATTACTTGCCCTGATTTTTTTCCTTCCAGGAATGAATCAATCCTGAAACTATGACTTTTTTAGATGCAAGATTTATACATGGTTATTATAAAGTCACCACCCTATTTTGATTGGCTATAACTTTTCAAGGGACAGTCAGACACAGGTGATATTTGAAAGAGGTTCATGAGGTTTTTTCCCATGCCACAAGATGACACTGCACGCCAATAGAGGGTGCTGATGTCGACTGCAGTGCCATCTATCTACTTGCTCTGTCATTTTTTAGGCATTGGGAAAAAAAAACATTCAGGCCTTTGAATCTCTGCCAAATATCAGCTGCATCTGAGAGTTCTTTCAAAAGATATTGTCACACAAAGTTGGATGGTGACTTGTACCAATAGAACTTTGTTTGATCATAACTTTTAAAGGAATAGTCAGATGCAGCTGATGTTTTACAAAGATGTTCATGGGTCTATGACTTATTCATTCCCTTGCCCTGCACAGTTGTGTATGTTGACAGGTGGTGCTGTGGTGGCATAAGCAAAGGTAAGAGATTGAGAATAGAAATTGGCTACCAAAAAAGAAATATGTCTAGCATTCTCACCACTCCTGACAGAAGATGGTGAAACTCTCAGTGCAGCAATGTCTCATGTTGATATGCTGTTACTACATATTATCAAAATAGAAACACTATAAGCAGAGCCCTTGTGCTCTGCTTATAGTGTTACACATTTCACCTTCACATATGCAATCACATATGACCTGTCAACATCTCCAAACATGTGCTGGGCAAGGGAACAAATAAGTCATAGACCCATGAACATCTCTGTCAAGCAAACTAAGTTCAATTGTTACAAGTCATCATCCAACTTAGTGTGACCATATCTTTTGAAAGAACTCTTGGATGCAGCTGATATTTGGCAGAGAGACTTATAGGCCTGAACATTTTTTTCCCAATGTCTAAAAAGTGACATAGCAAGTAGATAGGTGGCACTGCAGTCAACATCAACACCCTTTATCGGCATGCAGTGCCATCTTGCAGCATGGGGAAAAACCTTCTTGACCTCCTTTCTGTCAAATATCACCTAAATCTGACTGTCCCTTGAAAAGTTATAGCCAATCAAAAAAGGGTGGTGACTTTATAGCCCTGTACCCAATATGGAAGTGCAGCAAAGTAAGGTAATTAATCACTTTTGTGACAAATTGAAATTCATTTCAAACAATCATTGCTTCATGGAAAAAGCAATGTAGAATTGATCCATTTTGCTATTATTTGCAATAAATTAATTGCTAAGTTACTTGTAATGAACATAATATTCAGCCCTACTTGCAACCTTTCATCTCTGTAGCTAGGAAAAACTTATGAAATTATGAGGGCAATGCAAAACTTACAAGGGACAGTGCCAAGGAGGTTTTCAAAGAGCATTGCAAGCTGAACAAGGTTCCTATGCAACACAAGGAGTCTCTGATGGGAAGTGAGGTGAGGAAGGACTGAATGAATGACCTTCCCTCGACTTCCATATGGAATTGGCAATCCCATCAAAGAAGCCAATGTTGGAGCTAAGTCAATCTGCTTCACCTCTCCCATGTTGCTTGCAGACCTATGATCAAATCTGAAATTTATGCATGATACTAATTGGAAACAGTGTAATGATTTCTTGGATATATACCAATTGAAGGAAATGCTGGGGCTGAGAAAGATGAGAGGAGTTTGAATCTCAGGATGAGAAGAGCCTCCATGGCTTCCACTTTCACTCATTCCATGATCACCACAGACAATCAACATTGAAGGATATCCCCCTGCTTCCTAATGAAGGGAAGAGATGGTCTGCTATATGAATTTAAATTGAAAACACTTGATTGCATAGTGTAACAAACCTCTTTGAGTCCAGTAAAGATTTTCTGGATGACATGATCCATTTCCAAAAGTTTGTCTCCCATGAGTGGGGATCTGGCACCATGAGCATGGCCAATGTGGTCTAGTCCAAGGTAATGTAGGATTAGAATATCCCAGTCTTTCGCAGCCAATTCTGCACTCAAGTGTCGAGTCACATTTTCATCAACCTGCCAGCCAAACATTGTGAAGCCACTTTTGCGATACTAATTGAGTGTCAAGACATTCTTTTAAATGTGATACTTAAGATTACCTGAGTAAAGTCACTGACAAAGAAGGACTTGGTGCCTTCACTGCGAGTGAAGTGATGTGGGAACAAATACATCCAGGTGTCATCGCCATAGAATACAAGCATATTTCTGTGCTTTAATGCAGAAGTGAAAACATTTTCTTGCTTGAGTTCTGGACTGGCAAAATTCATAATCACATCCACATATCCTGGGATGTCACCAGTTGCCAGGGCCTGTTTATGAAAAAATTCAAAAGAACTCTACTACTTGCTCAAAAAACCACTAAAAAGTTCATTTGTAAGAACTGGGTAATTGATTCTCACTTTTATCCTGGGTAAGGTTACAGTGGGAATAGCAGCTTCAGCCATGAAGGAAATGCCTTGTCCTTTTCTGAGCATGTCTTCTGTAAAAGGCATTGCTCCATGGAAAGGAATCACAAAGTCCAATCGTAAGGCATCTATCACCATCAAGACTACACGCTTCACATGCCTTGCACTACTAAAGACAAATTTTCATCAAATGCACATTGGAAGTTTTCCATCTTAACCTTCTTTGATGCTGGAGAAGAAGACTACTGAACCTTGTTTCATCTTGTGGAAGGAAGTCAATTGTGTCTCTCTTGGAGGTCACTCGGTCCCAGGATAGAAATCCAATAAGGAATATCAACTGACCCAGAGTCAGGGACAAAAAATATACCACTGCCCTCATGTTGCATAATCTCCATTCATGACTGTGTGATAATTTCATCAAGCTTTTACTCAACACATCAACTTTCCAAGCAAGTCACAAAAAACCACCGTTCGTACAATGTCTTCGTACACCTTCCTTGGAATTTGCATTAGAAGTAGTTTATGGTACTTTTTAAATACTTTATACCATCACCATTCAACACATCCTTGCCTCTTCTCCAAGGGTGTCTTAATTTTGTGCCAAAGTTTTGGAGTCAAAGGATTCTAACTCTTTGCTGGCCCTTTTGAATATCAAGATGTTAAAACAGAGCTCCATTTAGACAGAAAGGTAAAAGTAATATATATATTTATATTTTAGTTTATTTTTTATATTTATGTATATAAACATATTTAGATACATACATCGTTTTTTTTTGTTGCAAAAAGTGCATGATGGAGGTATGAAGGATAACATATGAAGGTGCCTCAAATACAACCCACCAAAGTAGAAATGGCCATTTCTGACCATTCTGAGGCAAAACATCCTACATTTCAGGTACATAGGAACCAAGGCAAAATGACAATTTGAAAGGCTTCTACATTGTGCTATTACTAGTTGGTATTGGTTTAATTTTGATTCAAGAGGGTAAACTTGAAAATTGTTTAATGTGCAATGGAGTTGTATGTACTGCAATTCATTTTTCCCCTAGGTTTTCTCATGTTGAAGGGTCACTTCAATAGTCATTAAACTTTGTACTTGATTCCATTAGAAGGAAACAACATGTGATCACATATTTTTTATTACTTCACTTTGCCTCTATGCATTTTTTCATACTCAAACCATGCCTGGAATGCTGCAAAAGGTGTCTTCCTTGGCTAAGATCAAAATAGCTTCATCCAACACATTCCTCCAGCTCTTCATGGAATCTTCTCATAGCTCCTCTTTGATTTTGGGAAGGACCAAAGTTGCTGACTGTCTAGGCAGATGAGTAGAGATATGGCCATTTGTAGATGTGCCACAATGATGGCAACTATATGTGGCATTGCATAGTCATCATGGAACTGCATGCCCCAGAGGGGCTGTTCCTTCAACTTGAAATCATTCACATGTGTGACATTATCCTTCTCTTTAAACATCAGGTTATGCAGTGGTGGCCCTTCAAGAGTTTAGATTGTTACAAGGTGACAAATTATGAGCACTTCCAAAAGAATAATTTGTATCTTTGTTGAATGTGAGTGTATGAGCTTCAAATTTGTTATGGATGCTAAGTAACTGCAGGAGATTTTTAGCACATGGGCATGACATTTTTGTCTATTTATTGACATTTTCTAGAAATGGTGATGTACAGCATTGAATGTGTTTTTATAGTACAACAATATTATTTGAGCCAAAGAAGTCTGGAAATAGTGAGAAGGGCATTTTGCCATGGGTATGGAGTGAGAGATGGCCCATTGAAGTCAATTTCATTTCAGCTGTACAGTGATTGGGGCTCATGCAAGAAACCTGTTTATGCAGGACATTGTGAGGACTCATTACACACGAGTTGTTTTGAGTTCCTCAATGAAAATTTCAATTTGCTCTGGATTACAAGGCATCTGGAAAGGGAATCAATTGGCCTCCTTATTCTCCAGACCTCAACCTTGTGATTACTTTTGGTGGGGCTGTGTTAGAGATAAGGTCTATGTAAACAACCTGAAATCCATTAAGGAGCTCAAGGATGACATTCGGAGTGAAACTGATAAATTTTCCAATATCTCTCAAAGCTATATTCTAGAATTTCATTGTTTGGCTGCATCACATGATTGCTAGTGAGGGCACCCACATTGAGCATTTCATCACATAATTTCCTGCAGTCGTAGTTTGATAGGCCATTTGTGTTTTGTTTCTAGCTTTTGTAGATTTAAGAGAAAAATTTTTATCTTGGGAGTGCCCATTATTTGTCACCTTGTAAATAGCAGAGTTTCATCCTGTGTCTTGGTTGATAAAGGTCCTATTTTCTGAAATGTTGGTAAGAACAACTATATCTTGACAAATTTACAAGATTTTTATATAATACCCTTGGCTGATGAGGCCTTTATCTTTGACAGCATATGAGATTGGTCCTTTCTTCTCAGGAATAGTCCAAGGATGCCACCTGAATGATTTGCTTTAAGGCATGCACAGGCTGACTTTGTGTGAAGTCTCAAGATTTGGCATACATATAATATTCTAGGGGTGCCCAAAAACTTTTCCACACACAAAAAATAAAAACTAAACCATTGCTTTCATCACTACCAAAATCAGTTTACAGAAACATCACATTTCCTTCCTTATCCACAAAATAATCATTGTTCAAATCTATGCTCTTCTGCCATCTGGAGGGCAATGATCTGGAGGGCACCCAGTCTGTAGAAGCCTATATCTTGCTGCAGCTGGCAGTCTTAACAATGCAAGTTATTGCCAATTTTCAGTAGTCTGTTGCCATCCACCCATTATATAGCCCAAATGTAACCCACTCCATCATCAGTTTGGCCAGTTGAAGGAAAAACTTATGGAATATGCTTCATCAGGAGTGAAGATCTTAAAAATTCTGTAAGACCATGGCTGCAACAAGAAACTTGCTTCTACAGAATGGGTATACAATTGCTGCCTTCAAGATGGCAGAAGCTCTTAGATTCGAACAGTGATTATTTTGAGGGCCAAGGGAGGTGAAATGTTTGTGTACCAAATGTGGTAGTGATGAAAACAATGGTGTAGTTTTTTATTTTATGTTTGCAGAAACATTTTGGGCACCCCATTTGTTGTTACTATTTGACTTTCTCATTCATTGTAGAAGAAGTCATGGTAGAAGATGGTTTAGTTTGGTACATAAGTGCCAACTTAAAAAGATATTGGGGGCAAGGTCCTAATGCCCCTGAAATAACTGACAGAATCGTTCCAGGATCCAGTGGGGTAGCTCAGTATTATTACAGTAGCTGCTTGACGAGTGGGGGGTTCTGGGCACGGTGAGGGACAAGGACCTTCGCCTTTCCACCCCATATCCTTATGTGTTTTTGGGAATCTCTAAGTTGGAGCTCTAAACTAGGGGTATGCAACTTTTATCAGGAGTGGGCCACATGGAAATGTTTGATTTTTCACACAGGCCATAGAATGCAAAAGAAAAGGTAACCGTAAAGAAAAGTAAAGGTAAAAGAAAAGGGTATATGAGGACAAAAGGCTGTGCTGATTGGCCAATGACCCTTATCTCTTCCCCACTCCTAGGAAATTCCAATGCCCAAAAATAGCCTTTGGCATTAAGAACCTTCTTCCTCCAGACATATGTAGCACCACCCATGTGAGGAATAATAAGGGGAAGGAAGTGAAAAGATCCAGTATATTTCTAGTTTAGTTACTAAGGGATGACCAAAGTTGTGAAGGGCCTTGGGCTCCATGGAAACTTATTTTATCTGTTATCTCATCATGCAATACCGGAGTGCAAGAAGCAGGTCCACAGGCTACCAGTTGCACATCCCTGCTCCAGACAGATAGGAAATCATAATATTCATATATTTTTTTAAACAACTTTTTTTTTCCAGTGTTCCATGTGCTGTACTTTCATTGTACTTTGGCCATTTTGGTGGGGTACATGCCCCTTTGCCCCCATGGGTTCGGTGCTTATGGTTAGGTATGATTGGAACCCATCACTGAGCAGGTGCTGCATGGAATGCTAGTGACAATGACAACTAGTGACAGGAATAAGTGACAAAAGGAAGCACTGCCTTGACACATTCACTGCATCCAGGATCCTGCAACTCACTGGTGGGTCATAGAATGGGACAACTTGTAAGAGCAATCTAGCATTGACATAATGAATTTCTTGAAACTGGGGCTGCCTATTATAAGACATCAATCATTGGGTAATATGCACACTGATGCCAGATTGCTATTACTTCTATTCTGTGACCCACTGGTGGGTAGCAATGTAATGGGCATGTTGATTTTTAGCTATTTCTAGAGTTACTGCATTCTGATTCCTTCTTCTTGTGATTCTTGTAGGTGTGAAGAAACTGTTCACCTTCATGTGACCATGGATGAAGAGATATCACCTTGTGATTACCTACTGAATGGGATAAAATTAGCAAAACTCTTCACTTTTGAACTGAGAACTATTATCACTCACATCCTGTTTCAGAACTTCATAATAAATAGCAAGTCCACTGAGAATTTGATTAGCTTTGCTAGCTAGAGTGGTGCTTCTAGCTAGCAAAGACTGTTCCTTTAGCCTAGGGGCACACAACATATGGCCTGTGAGGGCTTTTGCTTGCAGCCTGCCATGACTGTTGGCATTGTAAGCACAACTATGGCCCCTGCCTTGTTGGTCACAGCCATGGTCAGTCAGACTGTGGCCCAGGATAGGTAAGGAAAAATCACAATGACCCTCAGTCTTTTGAGTTGTGCACCCTTGCTTTAGCCACTACCCAAGTGTCCATTGACAATCATTCACATTTTTTCCTTGAATGGACTAGCAATAAACAGATGAACTTGCCCATTCAATCAGCTGAAATAAAAGAGAACTGGAATGCACATGATACCCTTTTGCCAATAATTTTTATTGTGATAAGTCTACAGAGTGGACTGATGGATGCATCACAAATGGCATGCTTTACCAATCACCTTGTGGCAATTTGTAAGTCATGTTGTTGGATGATAAAATTTCAAGTTGAGGACCAAAGTAATTAATGACATAATGAGACCCATCAGAGGGTCGTAGCACCTGAGTAGCAATTAGAATTATGTCAATGAGTTGACCCAGGAACATGAAACCCAGTGTGCAAAATTTCAGGATTCCAATGGCTGGATATCCCAAATAAAATCTATCCACACCAAACATCCCCAAGAACACTGACAGGAGCAAAGCAGTCTCAAATGAGTGACCATTGGTCCACTTGCATGGGATGGGTCTCTTGAAGACACTGCTGTTAGTTTCAGTGCATAAGATGCCTTCTGCTGCTGTGCAGTTCACAAGTGCCACATTTTCCTTAGTGCAACCTCTGGGCTGCTGGGTGTCAGGATCAATACTCAAATCCAGACACAAATACTGGCCCATATTGAGATTCTGACACAAAGTAATGAAGTCTGAGTGGTCTGGTTGCTCCAGAGTCCTATTGGCTATAGCCACAGAACTGGAAACTATTGCAACAGGCAGCAGAAGGTTGATGAGGAACAGATACGGCTTCATGATACACAAACTGCACACACAATGTCCTTCTATTAGCCAAAGAGTTGAAGATGTTAAGAGAAACCTTTCTTCTGGAGTTCTCCCTTGGGCTTCAACTTTTGCTCCACTTTTTGTTGATGTGCTTCTTCTGCCTCATACTGTAGCTTCTGATGACGGGCAACAGCAAAATCAATTTCCTCCATGTGTCTGTAAATTTCTTCAGCTACCTGCTTCTGTTGAAGAATTCGATTCCTTTGGTTTCTCCACAGTGCTCCAGGCCTACCATCAGCAAAGGACCAGTCCGCGAGATCAACATATGGACCATAAGAAGTTGGGTTCTTTGGCAATTTATGTTTCAGTCTCCATTTCTCTCCAACACATGATGCAGAGCATAAAGAAAATGCCCTTGAGTAAAGTTTCTGCACTTGTGTTAAGGGTTTAAATACACTGATGAAAGGCTGCTTATAATGGCATTGCAAAAACTTCAGTTGTAGTCCAATAGCAACCATTTTCCCAACAATCACCTTTGAACCTCGGGTTGGCCTAGGAAGTTCTCATTGACAGTAGGCTTATATAAGAATATACCCTGTGAAAAGAAGAATATTTACTGAGAATAAAATTCTGAAGTCAAAGTATCCTAAGATAGGTTGCCATACATCCAATTCAGTTGGAACAGCCCTATATATGCAATGGGCATGGGCAGTTCACCCAATGAAAAGATGGAAGACAGACCAAACAGATCACAGAATTGTACCCAAGATGAAATAATATAAACAGAAGACAAGAGAAAATGAGATGAAGAGACAATACTACTAACCTGAACGGAGTGATGTAGATTAGTGATGTATGAGATCAAGCTACTGGAATGAATAAGGAGCCTTCATTGGGCAGTGTAGAAATTATGATTGTGATTACATACCTTTCACATAGTGATTTTACTCATGAATTATGTTGCTGGTCAATGGACAGCACTAAAGTGTTTACATGAACCCAACCCTTACAACACTTGTTTGCCTTAGTAAAGGGATGCACAATGAGAGAGTGCTGATGTTCCCCATTAGCACTCTGGACAAAAGCCAATTCAGCTCCTTTTCTGATTCATTCATTTTCTGTCCCATTCATTACCATGATCTGGAGAAGTGTCACAATCAATGTTGACAGGAAAAACATGAAAAAAAGTATATAGTATAAGCCATATGTCCTCACCTAATCATTGCATAAAGTTGTCATGTGTACTGTTTTAAGGAAAAAGTTCTGGTATTTCCTAAGCATTACTGTGAAATGGCTCTTCTTTCATTTCTGGGTTAAGTTGCTTTAATTCATGAGTGATTGTTGCAACAATTCCTTCCTCCCAGTATTAGTAATAGTCATAGTGCCTAGAGGTTAAAGTGCACCTCCCATAATCACATGAAAGACTGCATATGGCATGAAAATATTTACACTGTAGTTCAACTTGGTATGTTGATTGTCCCCCTTTTGCAGCAATGAATGAATTACTCTCAAAATTGGAGGGATGCAAAAGTATAGGCCCCATGTTACATATTTTCCATGTCAAATCAGGACATAAAGAAAGATAAAAGGAACATGGAAATTCAAATATGACTAGCTACTCATTTAGCAGCTGCACACTTCTACAATAATTCAAGTGCAACATTAAAAAATTATATTCTATCATGATGAATGGACAGAAAAGTTACATGTTATCAGAAAATAGAGAAGAAATAAATTTTCTTCAGTCTGTCAAACTTGCAGGCATTGGTACTTGCTCCCTGCATGCAGGCTGATATCTGTTGTATATATCTTTTAGTGTAGGGTAAGTTGGAGGAATGTGACCAAGGGTAAAATATGGCCATAGGTGGTGTGTCATTTTCATCACTTCTGAAGTTGAATCTTGAAACCTGAATTGTGCATAGATTGGTATGCTCCCAACATTCTTTTAAAATATCACTCAAACCAGTTTACACCATAGAAATCTATGAGCAATGATTCAAAAGAACCCACAAGGTGAATATGGCAAGGGACTCTAGTTCCTTCAGTGACTAGACTGTGCCTAATTTGTTCTCTGCTTTATTCTCTCACAAATTGAAGGGACAATTTTAATCAACTTTGAGCAAACTCTCTGTGTTGATATTTATTGACACTTATTAAATCCATCTGTGAAAAAAAGGCCACTTCAAAAATGAACTTCAATCAAAAGAGAAGTTCAGCATGACCTGGATAATATACAATGATGAAGAGATGTTCCACTAATTGACTACATGCATAAGCCCTTGTACATTTTCAATATTCCCTTCTTTCATAAAACTGCTCATACCCTTGCCTCAGCACAATGGTTATGTATGAAATTTTCACCTGTTGGGAACTTATCCATCTATGCAAAGGGCTAGCTTGATGAAAATAGTTACAGTGGGAGAGAAGATAAGTGGCCTAACAGCACTCCACCTAATTTTTTTAACCCATGAGAAAATCATCCATACTCAAGACAATTAAGCTGGCCTAGTCTTGTAATTCACTCATCCTACATAAATGATAGAAGCTGGATGCTTAATTTTAGTGTCTGGGAGCATATTAGGATGTCAGGATGCAAGAAAGACACTGTCTCTCTAAGCCTCATAGCTTCCAATAGTGCCTTCTATGAGAGTGTAACCTAGATCTGGAAAAAATTGAGCTTGAACACTCCAAGTTCAGACACAAAGCTGGTCATCTGCTCATTACATGCATCTATCTCTATAAGCAAGGATCTCTGTCTGTCTCCGTCCATCTGACGCTATGCATTCGGACACCGTTGGAGATATCGACCTGAAACCTTCGCAGGAGCGTGGGGTCTGTCCAGTAGCAGGTCATAGGGGGGTCGGGGTCCGGGGGTGCTACGAAGATGTTATCTGGGCCAGGAGCTTTATTGGGAGATATTTTAATCGCGGCCTCGATCTCTTCTATGGTGATTTCGTTAAGTAATGCTTCCCGATCGGGAGAGAGAGTTTGGAGAGGGAGAAGTTAGTCATTTTGCTTTGGAGATCGAGGCTTTCTTTGAGGGGAACCGGCCCCAGGGAGCTTGGCTGCTCGGTCATATCTTCCAGCAGGGTGTCCAGCAGGGTGTCCAGCAGGGTGTCCAGCAGGGTGTCCAGCAGGGTGTCCAGCAGGGTGGCGGCAAGGACTGAGGCTTTGCTGTCCTCACTGTCTTACCTTCATATTTAATGGGTTTACTTTGATTGTTTCGAGGATTCCCGATTCTTTTAAAGAGCTTCCAAAAGTTAGCTGGATCCATCTTCGGTGTTAATCTGTTCACAAAATTTACACCAATATGCCTCGTTTTCGTTTTTAAGGAGAGCTTTAATTTCGTGGTCTTTGGAGATCGAGGCTTTCTTTGGGGGGAATCGGCCTCAGGGAGCTTGGCGGCTCGGTCATAGCTTCCAGCAGGGTGGCGGCAAGGACTGAGGCTTTGCTGTCGTCACTGCAGTGGGTCTTACCTTGATATTTAATGGGTTTACTTTGATTGTTTCGAGGATTCCCGATTCTTTTAAAGAGCTTCCAAAAGTTAGCTGGATCCTCTTCGGTGTTAATCTGTTCACAAAATTTACACCAATATGCCTCGTTTTCGTTTTTAAGGAGAGCTTTAATTTCGTGGTTAAGCCTGTTAATGAGAGGTTTTAATGCGGGGTCTTTAGAGCGAAAGTAAGCGCGTCTTAGTTTTCTACGTCTCTTAATTGTATACAGGACTTCTTCAGAGAGAGAGTAAGGTTTATGGGAGATAGAAATTTTGGGTATTGTTACTTCTTGCGCAATATAGATGGACTCAGTGACGATAGTGACCGCCTCGTTAAGCTGGGGAATGGCATCCATAGGGAGGGAGTCTGGGAGGAGGGTTTCTACTATGTCCTGAAAAGCGCACCAGTCGGCATTACGAAAGTCAAAGCGGGGGTTACTTGGGACAGATGGAGGGAGGTGAGAGAAGTTGCACTTTACTATGATAGGCACGTGATCACTCCCTATGTCCTCTCCTATGGAGAAGTCTTGAAAAAAAGGGAGGAACCGTGCATTGCCGAGTGCGAGATCGATCCTGTACGGGTTACCGTGAGCAAAGCAAGAATGGGTGGGGGAGTCGTCATTCAGAATGCTAAAGCAGCTGGAAGCTATGAAGTCGCATAGGATGCGACCTGTTTCGTTGGTGTTGTCACAAAACGAAAGCTCGGGGGCGTGTGCATTAAAATCTCCTATGAAAAGCGAGGGGCCTCTGTATTCGTTAATGAAGTCCAAGTCAGCAGAACTAGGAGGAGAGGCAGGAGGGAGGTAGGCATGAAATATGGTTAAAGAGGCAGATGGGAAGCGTATTTTAACTCCAATTATTTCTGACTAGATTATTTGCAATTATTTCAGACTAGATTATTCCAATTATTTGCCCTTCGGGCAAACAAACTCGCTATGGTCGCGCCTTCGGAGTTCCATAACCTTGGATAGTGATTAATTAATTTATTCTTTGCAAAATGGCCAGAGCAGTGCTCCCATCCCCATTGGTCTGGCCGGACTTAGACAAATAAGCACTAAAAAAAAAGCACATAAAAGAACAACAGCTACATTACTCCTAAAAAATATCCTGGGCAACGCCGGCTAACCCAGCTTGTATTCCATATAACAATACACACAGTTTTCACACAGTTGCAGTTTCCTGTGGAATGAGAATTGTGCACAATGGTCAAGCAAAATTCATGTGAAGCAATTCTCATGTAAACTCTTCTAACATTTTCTTGGATTCTCCTGACTACAACACAGTATTTACTTAGGCCCAATATTTTAAATATTGTGATATAATTGTGATTACTGCATGTCTTTCACTCTGTAACATGTTCACCTCATGCTATAAAGAACTAAGGGCAACCTCAAACATGTTTAGTTTTGTAACTTTGTATAATGCTATCCAAACAAGCAGAGTGATTATTAAAGTTCCCTACTTCAGAGTGCTAAGACTCCTTAACTATAGGGTATAAGGTGCTATCACACACATCAAGGGACACATGTAGATGTAATTGCAGCACTTACCACATCTTTGCCACTGAGGATGTGACCATACCTTATTAGCACCAACTAATGTATCATTTGCATAGTAAAGCTTCAGTATCTGTCCTCTCTGCATTCCTGTCACCTTTGTGATGCATACTGGTCTGTATATCTGTATCAGCAACATTTTCACATTATTTTCTCATTTGGCATTTCCGGGAAACATGGGAATTATGCCTTGATGGTCCCTTTGCAAAATTTGGAGGAGCTAAAATCACTTCCCCACAAGCCATTTGTCATGTCTGTGTAATGCAGGATGACCAGATGTCCCAGTTTTACTGGGAGGGTCAGGCTATGTCCCTGTTTTAATTTTCCTTCCATTCCTGGAGATCTATTTTTTTTTTACTTCCCCCCCCCCAAACATTGCAGCACAAACATTTAAGCAGCATCTTGACAATGTCTCGAGATTTCCTGAAAAAATTCTGGCCCCCTCAGCGTAATGGCACCTACACCATATAGTCAAGGCAACAGAGCACTCTAAAGTAGGATACATAGTTTATAAGCTTCCTCTAGTTGGTTTATGCTCATAACAATATACCTTCCAATTGTAAAGTGATTACCACCGACAGCTCTAACGTTAAAAACAAAACAAAATTCCTTGAAGGTAGTATTGCTGTCCTTCCAGTGTCATCCACTGTGACTGAGAGCATGTATAGAGACCGGTCTTACCTCTATCTGAGAGCCTTTGAAGATGTGCCCATTGACGCGACTCAATTGTGATCTATCACAAATCAGGCATGGGACGGTCGCATCATGGCCGCACCTGCTCACGTGTGAGCCGCCATGTTTGCGGTGAATTTTTACTCTGCCAATTGATTTGGCATACTGTAGCATAAGGGTCATTCAGAAAGTTTTCGGATGCTGCCTTATGATGTCTCCTCACAGGCTGATAATTGTTTTCCGAGCAAGGACAATCAATACAAGCTTATGCAAAAACTTTCAGAATTCACCGTTGCATTGAACTGGCTCTTATAATTGTTTATACCTCTCAAGTTCAGGAATTCTTTGAATTCAAGATGGGTTTGTCTCGTGAACATGTCTGAACGATGATTTTCTATTACTTCAAAAGTGAACTCGCCCGGAAGGAAAGTCTTGAAAGCCTGCAACAGGCCTTTGGAGAGCAAGCACCATCTCGTAGTATAATTGTTTAGAGGTTCGCAGAGTTTCGGAGGGGGTGATCAGGGATGAGCCTCACTGTGGCTGGCCATCAACTGCAGTGACATGAAAATGTGACCAATGCACGGAATGCACGGAAGATGGTTGAAGAGGACAAATCGAATAACATTTGTGAACATTCAAGCACTACTTGGGGTTGGATCAGCAGCCGTGAATGAGATCCCGCACAGACATCTTGGTCTGAAAAAGGTCACCAGCCGATGGGTCCCTCATGACCTCACCCCAAGTCAAAAGGAGGCTGGAGTGGAATAGTATGAATTAATGCTCAGATGTTCAACTCTGGGTCTTCAAAAGCCATCAATGGCATCATTACAGGATATGAATCCTGGATATATCAATTTGACCCAGAGACAAAGCGCCAATCTACTGCCTTGCTCTTCCCTAGCGAACCGACCCCAACCAAGGTCAAACGGCCCGGAAGTGTGGGAAGACAATGATTGCCGTAAATGCCATGATTCATTAAGTGGCTAATTGCAAAATTGTAGTCCAGAAGCAACTCCACCCCCCCCCCCCCCTCCTCCCCCAAAATGGGAAGGGAAGGGCCCCCCCCCGAAAAAATTCCCGGTATCCCGTTGGACCAATCCGACCCTGCGCAACTCAGTAGCAGTTCAGTTCCAATTCCAGTTGAGATTTCTTTGTGATAGAAGTCGACGAAAGCACAGTGGAATTTCAGTAAGACCCAAGTCTGAACTGGAGCTACAGAACCGACGTGCGACTGAACTGCCGTTTTGAAATCAACTGAAGACTGAGGCCTGGTTTGACTCGCATGTCATTCGTGAGCGACGCCATCCTGTGTATTCCCTAGTATCAATGAGGTATACAGGCAAAAAAAGGTATAGAGAGAAACTGAGCTCGCAGAATAGGCGTTCTTCAAAACTCGCTAAGCTTTCACATAGCGTCTGATCACCTGCTCAAAACGCGCCTATAGCAGTCACATACTGTACATACAGTATGAGCAAAATCGTAGTGTCCGATCGCGCCTTAAAAACGTCTTCCTATTTCTTCTTTTGGGTGATATTTTAGTGCAATAGGTTGTCTGAGTCGAATATATCTCAATAGGGTAAGACCACCAATGTTCGGACAGTTAAGCTGGCCGAGCCTCATCATTCAATTGTCCCATCTCAACGGTACAAGCTGGAAGCTTCTTTTTTTTTTTCCTGGGAACGTAACACAAGGAGGTCTAAGTGCTGTAAAGATGTTATCCTTCCTACCCTTATGACTACCAATATTGCCTGTAATGTGGATGTCCGAACTTGCGGGAGAAATTAAGTTCGGACACTTTCACCTTAGTTCGGACACCCCCGTTTTAAATTCTTAAAGAGGCTTGAAACATTTTTGAAACACAAACTAATTAGGTACATGCTGGTATGCAGTCATAAGGGGAAATCCTGCTTCTGGGAGATATCTTATGGGGTACATTTGGGGGGAACCATATTTTAAAATATATTTTGCTACATTGAATCGGGTGGTGAAGGATATAGAAACCTGGAATTTCGTACGTAGGTTGTTGTCCAGTCACAAATTTCTGGGAAAATGATACTCTCGCTGATAATCCCTTGGGTGCACATTATTCATTAAAGTCGTGTTGTAGGAAATTATTTTTAAGCATAACGGACTGGCACAGTTTGTTATATTCAGTAGACGAGTATTTCTCTGCATGCTTAATTCAGAAAACATCAAACTTGAGGGACACATCCCGCTCCGAATTTGGAGGTACAACTCCTAGAATAAAATGTATCCAGCAGACGTGTTCATCGTAAGCAATTTTGGCCTTCCGCAACGACATCTCACCCGAATTAAACCTCTGATGGCCTTTTCAAAACCCTCGTATCGATAATCCCTTGCATTCCAACCTCCTACCACTTCTTTGGAGGCACGCCGCACACTTGGGTGTGCTAATAAATATATGAAGCTGTATTTTTTCATAAGTACTCGACGGTGTCCGAAGTTACATGTCCCGTTATGAAAGTTCGGATAGCGTTCAAAAATACATGTTCTCTGAAAAGCATGACTCAACTGAGATCTAAACTAAACGATCTCAAGAGGACGTCATATTTCCGCAGATAAGACCCACATGAATCTATGTCCGAACTTAAGTTTCTCAAACATTTATTGACCTAAGTTCGGACACATCGAAAGTAAGACAATAATCTGATCAATGCACGTGCATTCTTGGTAACAGGACTCCATGTCTTCCTAGTTTCCTGGGAAGTGATAATTGATTACAGAAAACACAAAAGTCACGTGTTAAACGTATTAAAAGTAAGGTTCTCTCCTTAAGGTTTCTTGAAGAATTCCTCCTGTTCGCAATATAGCATTAGCCTTAGCCCAATATCTTGGAATCGTGGAAAGTCATGATGAGCACCGCTTTTCCTTCTCTTAGTAACGTGTTCATCTCATGTCAGGAAGAACCACTTCTGAAGGCGACCACGCGAATGCTTAGTTTTGTAACAATGTTTGCAGCAGTGTCCGAACTTAGGTACTGTCCGAACCTAGGTGGCTTTATCCTAACTGCGTATATTCGTCTATGAATATGGTGGACGCGTGCATTCTCAATTTGCTTCCTGGCGAGGCTCACTACGGAAGTCGCCTAATTCCGTAAGCGACAAAAGTTCAGCGGGGTTTCAAATACACCTCTAACTCATATTTTTGAAATTGAAAAATAAATATGTGTGATTGCATTACCTGAAGTGAGAAAATTTTCATATTTTTACTACACACTATTAAAATGATTTTAGTATCTCATTGTAATGTAGTTAAGATATAGAAACATAAACATAAACAGATATAGAAACATATACAGGGTGCGTGAGCTATTTGAGAACAAAATTTGACTTTGAGGAAAACTAAAATATTCAGTAGAAAAACCAATATATTTTCATAGAATTTGGTACACATGTGTTCTTACATACACATAACAAAAGGCTATTCAATAAAACCGCCTTCAACCTCGATTACGGCCTCGATGCGGCTTCTGAAACGACTACATGCGTCGATCAGGTGATCCTTATTTATGTTTGCCATAATGTCCCCGATGGCAGCCTTCAACGAGTCCTTGGTATTATGGGCATTCTTGTTGGTCTCCCTCTCAAAGACGCCCCAGACGTAGTAGTCCAGGGGGTTTAAATCAGGAGAGCTAGGAGGCCAAATGTTAGGGGTAACATGATCGTGAAAATTTTCGGCCAGCCACTCCTGGGTCGTGCTGGCTGTGTGAGAGGGAGCAAAGTCTTGCTGGAACACGTACGTCCTCCCCCGAGCC